TAAAAATAGTTTGTAATGGGATCATATTCTGGTTTGTGGTTTGGATCATTTGTGTTTTTCCATATATTGGGAATGTCATCATCCCAACTGACGAGCATATTTTTCAGGGGTGTTGAAACCACCAACCAGTATTTATTTGTTGTATAATGAAAGAATGTGAGATGTGGCTCAGAACAAATCTTGTCAAAATCTAAAAAGACAGCATTTATCATGAGATCCCTGCTGCAAATTCGCCTTAGATACCACTTGAATGTACACAATATCGTCATGCCCAATAGGGAGCCGTTTAAAATGGGTTCCATGCACAGTGCAGCATCGAAGCTGGCGACACATGAACATCCACCATCACCATAGGAAACCGGGATTTTCCATATGGTTTGATTAGTAGATGGTAAACATGCTAAACTCCAGTTCGAGGCGTCCCTTTAAATGGGGATGTTATAATGTTACCCCAAAATAAAACCATGTTAGATTTGGATTTTCCATTGAAAAAAACGTTCCTTTTGGGGTACCTCCATTTATGGAAACCTCCATAACTGTTGCCGATTCCACGTTCTTGTTCCCATGAGGTGACGACCTCTTCTCGGAAAAGATCGACTTGCGACATCTCTTTCCGGAAGAAGGGCGGCAGGTGCCAGTGATGCCAAGACATGGCATGAATTTGTGAACTGTTCACAACTTGGTACATGTTTGCAGTTTACACCAAAAATAACTGATTCCACTTGGATTCCAAGATATTCCAAGATATTCCAAGACTAATACCCTCTGGTAAACTAACAGTTTGCTATTGAAAATGGTGATTTAGTTCGTGGATTTTCCCATTCAAAACGGTGATCTTCCATAGTTTTCTGATGTTTTCTGTATGTTTACCAGAGGGTAAGACTATTTCTGTTCAATGCCGATGGGATCCTGCAGACACCGGCCAACATCGAGCAAATCAAACGCAGCGCCTGGGTGACAGCCCTCAGTATCCAGGGCTGGGACATCCCAATTTGAACAAAAAGGTGTTTGGATTTATGGGCGGAAAAAAAAACGTTTTAGTACTTGGTGGCTCATCCTACTTAGTAAGCGACTTATAACCCCAGTTATAGGTAGATTAACCCTACTTATCCCACTTATAACTGGGGTTATAATCCACTTACTAACTGGGATGAGCCACCAAGTATGTTTTAATGATCAATAAAATATCGGGATATATAGGATATAGTCTATGAATGTCTTTGATATAGTTGATAAATTCTGAAGATATCTGAATATGGATTTGAAACGCTAAATATGGGGATAGAATTCCGAAATAATAGTGGCGGCAACTGGCTGTGCACCTGAAACTGAGCAGTGTTCGAAACTCCTGGTGGCTGACTATTGTAGTGCGTTCCTGTATACTAGCTGCTATAGCTGGTGTGTAGGGAATTATCATCATCCACTATGGGAATCCATATTGACCAACAAAACCGTAAAGGGATTACACTAGGGATTAATAACAATAATGATAATAATAATCATCATCATCATCCTCATCCTCATCATCCTCATCATCCTCATCATCCTCATCCTCATCATCCAACTAAGCTGGTTGGCGGTTTGGAACATTTTCTACGTTTCCATATTAATTGGGAATGTCATTTCATCCCAATTGTTACTCACTCACTCCATCATTTTTCAGAGGGGTCAACCACCAACCAGATGTTTTTTTTAACCATCATTAACCATACAATAACCATATAATAACCATATATTGACCATTATTAACAGTATATTAACCACTTATGCAAACTAATCTCATCATCCTCATCCTCATCGTCCAACTAAAGGGATGACATTTCTGGTTTTTAAAACTGCTCAACGGTTCCCACGTTGAAAACACCGTAACGGCCTAGGCTGACATGCATCGACTCACGTCCAGCAAGACGAGCAACGTGGCAGCAATGCCCCATTGGCTGAGATTTCTTGGAGGAAATCATAGAGAAATACGGGATATAGGGCTGGGATATAAGAGGACATAGCATTTTTTGGGGGGAATGGATTCATAATTTTCATGTGAAGAACTTGTCACTGTCAAGGTATATATAAAGTGCATAATATGCACTTCACATGTTAGGTAGTGAAAATCAAGTGTTGGGTGGGTTTTGTTGTTTCAATTGACTGGGAAAACGACAACACACTTCAAACATATTCTGCTTGAATTTATGTTATGTATATATATATATATTACTATTTAATAGGTATAAGGCGTCATCATGGCATAATGTTGTTTTTTACTGCCGGTTTCAGGGTCAAACTGACATGATGGTTCGAAAGGCGAATCAGCAGCAAATAGAGCTTATTTCAGCTATTTACATATATTTTCAGGTAGTGAATTACTATAGTTCAGCCTTTTTGTTTCAATTTCTAATACTTAACAAACCATCTCTTTGGTGGGCAACCATTTTAGGCAATAGTGCAAACATAAAACAGTATACGTATGGCACATGAAAAATGAAATTGTGACTACATCCATGTCAGCATATGACATTTCAAACATCGGTGGTGAGTAGATTTTCTCAGCAGGTTGGTCAGGCAGGCAGTCACGATCGTCACTGCCTTTTTAAGTTATTATGTATACACCTCACCCCCAAGTAAATATAGGGGTTCCAAACACACCTAGAAGGGATATACTATGATATACCCAAACACACCCAAATTATTTGAATGGGGATTATTCACATATATTCACTGGTTGGTGGTTTGGAACATGAATTTTATGACTTTCCATATTAATTGGGAATGTCATGATCCCAACTGTTACTCACTCCATCATTTTTCAGAGGGGTTAGCAGCAACCACCACAGCGTCATCAACATCCACAGCTTCGGATCCTGGATCAACATCGAATGTCATCCAAGCACGAAAAGGACAGAGAACTAGAGATATCCCCCAGCTAACCCCTTGTTTAGACATTGGTTGGGGTCCCAGTCATGGTTGTCTTTGATAATTTAGGGGAACACAAAATCCCATGTTTTAAAGACTTAAAGATGTTTAAAGCCTCATTTGCTCCACTGAAATTGCCAAAAAAAAATCAGACACCCAGTCATGAGTCAAACACTGACCCGCCTAGGCATGTCTGTTGCGGGTGAGAGGCCTGTTTCATGCTGTGAAGGTTGAGATTTCGATTGAACATGTGAAACGGTGGTTGTGTTGGGCATGGGCATTAAAGTGGTACACTAAATCACAAACCATCACCAAGATCACCAGAAATGAATCGTCCAAAGCAACATTGGAGGTTAATCAGTGGGTTTTCCACCTTATCTGCAAAATGAGGTTTCTGTGAACAATTGGATGTGTATTTGAGTATTCTAATCGTTTGCACTATTGGGGATGTATACTGACCAGCCAAACATTTTTAGTTTGTTGGCAGGGTCTACGATTGACCAGGGGTTCGAAATGACAATCCCATCCCAAAGGTGTTTTTTTAGCAGTAAAAATGTTGCATTGAGCAGCAAACACGGGCATTGAACCTAAGAGCAAGGGATAATATATATTTTTTTTAAAAAAATATATAATATCCTTCGCGGAAACAAATGCCAAATATTCCACTAGAAATTCACGGGGGTGTCTACAAATGGACCCCTGAAACCAATTGCTTTCCAATAGTTTCTCATTGAAGCAGACCATTCTGGTGGATTCCACGGGATATTTTGGACCATTTCACGTGTCGGCTCCGTTGACAGGTACTGCTGTGTGAGCTGACCCCGGCTCTGGGCTAAGAGACAGTAGCGGGTTGGGTGAAGCGTGAAAAAAATGAACAAAAATAACTCTGAACAATGAATCACATTTTTTTGGCAAGGGAATCTACAACTAAAAGGGCCCCTCAGGTATTGGTTTATGAAGCCCATTGGGGTCTCCATTAAACCCACCGTATTTTTTCTGGCCGGAACATCCCATGATGAAATAAACAACCATCTGAAATCATCACTAAATCCCAAGATCTCAATAAACGTTAGATGCGAAACATGCCTAGATGGAGAAATTGTGAGTGTGAAACATGGCAAAACTCACGTTTTCGAGTGAGATGGCTAGAAAAAACAGATGAGTTGCGTTGCAGGGTTGGCAAGCAGTGCTATGTGAGGATTCATATGGGTTTGTCTGAAAATAAGATACCCTGAAATCCCCTGGTTCATCCTCATTTTTCCTATATATATATACATATTACAATGGGTATTTTTGAGGTTTTCTCCATTTTCGTGGCCACCAGTGAGATGACGGGTAATCGTTTGGCGATGGAGTCAGGATGAACAGGTCAACATAGTGATGGGCAAACATGTCTGGTTGGTGGTTTGGAACATGAACTTTCCATATATTATGGGAAGGATTATCCACATATTATGGAATCATTCCCAATTTTTTAAGTTTCCATATTTTGGGAATAATGCCGGGGCTAGTGATGGTTGATATATGAATAGTTTGGATATATTAATGGCTTTATCAATGGCTGATTGGTGGTAAATTGTAACGACCTCACTGTTCTCCCTCACTGGAATCATGGTTAATAAGGGAAATCATCCCAAATGGGCCTTAATTCAGGTTGGTGAAACATTATAATTTACCCAGATATATTGGCAATGTCATCATCCCAACTGACTTTCATATTTTTCAGAGGAGTAGGTCAACCACCAACCAGTCATGATTGGCAGAGGTTTTTGTTTAAAGATTGGAGAGTATACCGTAGGCCATAGACATATCAATGCCCCTTAAACCTCAGCGCAACTCATACAGATCAACGGCACCCGAAGGGGTTGTTGAACGCTTCGGCCAAAGTGCCGGGGCACCGAGTTGCGATCGACTTACTGGCACCGCGGCGCCACGAAAATCGGATGGAACAATTATGGAACATGACCACGACTGATTGGTGGTTTGGAACATTTTTTAATTTTCCACCAATAGCTCAGGGATGGAATCGAATCGCTTCGTTTCCGCCACCTCTTTTTGATCTTAGCAGCTGCGGCTTGCCGCAGCGCTGGGTCATGGCTGATGAAGACCAGGCGGTGCCGAGCAGATGGGTCGAGATTTGTTTTGATCAACTGGGATACATTTAAATATAACACCCATTATATAGATATAGTAATACATTAGATCAACTATATTACTAATCCTCTCCCCCTAATACTAAACACGGCCCCCCCAAATAATAAACACCTCCACGTAGTTTTTATTATTAGGGTGGTGTTTATTATTAGGGAACCAAAGCGGACCCTAATAATAAATTGAAACCCTTGATAAAAAAACTACTTTTTCGATTTTCAAATCAATTAATTTTCCTTTTATAACGCAAGTAAATTATCGCCAAAAATGGGATTTCGAAGCTTTCCCCTAATATTAAATTAAGAACCGTAATATAAAAGACTAAAATTTTCGGACGGACCCTAATAAAAAAACACCCCGGGGTTGACTAGTTTTTATCATTAGGGGGTGAAACCCACAAATAGTAGCTGATGTCGCTGAAATTTTCCAAAATTGGAGATGGACCCTAGTTTTTATTGTTCGGGGGGTTTAGTAATAGGGGGAAGGGATTATATTGTTAGATACACTCGTTTGAACCAACTCTACATTTATTTAGATATATATTACAATATGTAACACCCATCAGAATCCCATTAGATATATCCCAACTGGACATTAAACATATCCCCATGGACCGTTTTAACTAATATTGGATTTCTTGCCCATGGGATACAACTGGGGATATATTGAGATATACAATCAACATTAACCAGCTGGATGTGTTTTGTGAAAATTAGCATGTTTTTTTTCAGGTTTACCTATGGTTTACCAAAACTTAAGAACGGTTTTACCAACATTAACCCAACTTTTACATTGGTCTAGCTGAAAATTCAGGGTAAAACTCAAAGAATCCCAATGGTTTATATGATGGTTTATATAATATTGGGATATATATGATATATTACAACTTATATATATATAACATTATATAATCCATAAACCCATAATATTATGATGGCTACAACTAAATCCCAATGGTTCATATAATATTGATGGTTGGCCTTAAACTTGGATAGTCTTCCCCTAGGTCTCAGGCTCCCAGGTTAAATCTGTGGTTAAAAAAACATGTGCCCGGTAAACTAAGATTTATGGTGATTTTATAGGGATTCAATAGGTAAACTATGGAAACTCAGCATTTTCTGTAGGTCAATCAGCGATAAGGCCAGTTTCATCAATTCTTCATAGTTATGTTAAATTACCACACACGGGTTTCGCCCATTAAAGATTGGCCATGGCTGTGCATCATGGATTTTTTTTGGGTACGGAAGGTTCGTCTAAAAAAAGTACATGTTTTGTCCATAAGTTTTCCTGTCGTTTTGTTGATCTTCTAATTGGTTGAGTGACTCAAGATGACTCAAATCTGGTTAGATCAGTTGACTGTCGTTTGGTGACTCAAGTCTGGTTTATGTTCATTGATTGGTGAGTCAAGTGTGGTTTTCGAGAATCTCTGATATCGTCATAGACGGAACAAATGTTTCATGGTAGACACCAGGGTTTTAACCGTAAATATGACCTTAAATCATCTTAAATCCCAGTACCGTACATCTACAGTTATAATATATTACAATATATTATATCGATTATATCCTGATATGATTCCGTATCCATATGTATCCATGTCTTCAAATCAATCCCCTCTTACCCGTTTCAGTTTGTTTTCTCCATTTGTGTTGCTTCAATGTCCATTTCTCTTGGTGAAATCACAATTTTTATCAGCTCAATTCCATAAAAAAGTATTGAGTTTATGAGTTAGATATCCATGTTTGTTTGCTTAAACAAGTTAAATCCCTGTTGTTTGTTCCATCGGGCTATTGACACCATATTTTGTGGTTCCGAAACCAACGCGCCAGGGCTGGTACGAAGATCCACTCGGCGAGGAGTCGATCAATGCGAACGAAGAGCCGAATGAAGGACGACCAGGACGACCCAGTTAGGTCTGGGGAAATAATTGGATAATGGCCATAAACATGGCTACTGTAAATAGAACATATATATATATACACATACATCATATACATATATATATACAACGTATACTTATATATTTATGTATCGTATACTTATATATATATACACATAATTTATTAAACATATATATATATTACATACTACAGCTATAGTTGTATAGTCATATGGTATAGTATGTCTATATATGTATTTATTTGCTGTAATATATAAGTGGTAAATTTATCTTAGATCCCAAACAGATCCCAGTCATTGGAAAGGTTGGATAAGAAGGACCACAACAAAATATGAAGATGCTGAATATATGGATATGTGTGGTTGATGTTCGCCATATATATATAATAGGAATAGAACCAAAGTCACCCAATTGAATGGGGATCTAAAATTGATATTTGCGAATTTCATGAAATAAAAAAGGGCATCGGGCACCAGCAAAGTGTGGGGATATTGACCAGCAAAAGATTGGGATCAACCTTCCTGAAACGCCACTTGAAATAGCAGAGCGAGAATGGATCTGATTCAGCGGTGGCCAAAACGCATTTATGACACAATGGTGTTGAGTCTTCAGAACTTTGCTCCAATCTGGCAACTTTCAGCTCTCCCACTTTTGATCGGAACAAAAAATCGACATCAATACCCATATGCGAACCATGGTGCTGGTATATAAAAACCTACAAAACTGGGTGATTTTCTTCGGGTAAATGTTGGGATTCATATTCCAGCACCATGGTGAGCATCTGGGAGAGGTGATGTTCCCTGGATGAAACCGGAACCAGCTCAACCGCGGATTCAATCCAAGGGATCAGCCGGGCTTTTTCAGGAACTGATGATTGGAGTGACTGGAATGAACAGGAAGGTGGCAGCCAATCGACGTCCGCGGCCCCAAGTTCCCGTGGGGCCGCGTGGGGAGGCGTGGAGAGAGCATTTTTTTGGGATATGCGGTTGACATGTTGGATATGTGAGGTATATCTCATTCAAAGTATTTGATAGCACCAAATACATCCAAATACATGTATTCCATACATTGTGCTGAAACATTCATTAGTGATGTTTACAAGCCAAAGGTTGCAATGCAGCGGCCTGTGAAAAGCCGAAAATGTCAGGAGCCATGACCAAGACCCCGGTTGACAGGCTACAATTTGGGACAGGCTACTACTACCCAATATATTGGAGTTACCCTCTGGTAAACGTTTACATAGCTATAGAAAATCACCATTTTGAATAGGTAAATCAATTATTTCTATGGGGTATTTTCAATAGCTATGTTAAATTACCAGAGGGTATCATAATCCACTAAGTAAATCCCTCGATGAGTGTAAAGGGATGACGGCGGGTTTTGGACACTGCTCATGTTGTGCAATGACCGAAACATGTTGAAAGACTGGAAGGGCGCGGCATGTTCTGGAATCGTTCGTATGTGTCTCTTGTCCACGGTTCGGAGTATGACCAGAAACCAATGTCATGACAGCATATCTCAAACTGAGTCAAGTCAAGATGTCAGAACAAGACAGCAACATGCAGCTGTTTAGGTTCGCGATCATGTGCCTTGCAGAGCTTTCACAAAGACCAAACTCCGGTTTAAGACTTGTTGGTTAAGTGTATTGGCCATGCATCAGTTTCTTTTGCCGACAAAATGGATGGTTTGATAAATAATGACAAATATATGCGCTGCTGCGGCCCATTGCTGGTTTCAATTTCTGGTTTCAACATGCTATCGATCTGATGCCCCGACTGGAATACTAAGGAGTCGAAAAAGAAAGAACAAGGAGGCGCCTCTGATGTGTGAAATCTGAAATCTAAACTTTCGAAGCGTTGACAGATTTATTCACAGGGCGACGGAGCAACAAAATCCATTGGTTTCCTTCACGATCCTTGAGTCAAGTGGACCAGCGACTTCAAGATCTGGACAGTTGTAGCCCTTTACCAGTTGTAAGTCAGCTATCACCCCACGTATGGAATGACAAGCCCATCAAAATAACCATTTATAACTGGGATTTAACTGGAGTGATGCTTCGGTTTTTGTAAAATCCCCCTACTTGATCTTGACAAATCACCACAGATCATCATTTCATCCCAGGTTTCCACCTGTTTGGATTTTTGTTGGTTTCCTAATCTTTAACATACTATGTAAAGATTCTCAAAATGTATACATATGCAAATATATATATATATGATTATTATTGGTAGTATTTTTATTATATATATAATGGGTGTCCTAATATTGGGAATATTAATGCGATTAAACCCATTATATATTTACTGTATCCAACTAATTTCGTTGTCATAAGGTACCGGTAATCGTTTGGGAAAATTAATGCGCATATTCTATATAGTAAACACCCCCGAGAAAACATGAGAAACACCGTGTTTTTAAGGGTTGGGATTTATACATACTTGGGGCCATACAATGAGGGTGTTCAACATGGATGGGGGATGGATTCACTATCAGTTGGTTTGACAGTGACTTCAAGGAACTATAATCCCATTATAGTCCCATTATCATCCCATTCCATATCCCATGACACTGCCATCATATCCCATGAGAATTCCATTTTACTTATACTACCACAATCCCTCATGTTGGTTAAATATGTCCTTTATATCCCAAGATTTCTCCCTATTGTCCAGTAATTGATGATGATATATACACACTGGTAATGAAACATGGCTAGCTGGGAAATCTCCTGTAAATAGAGCTCTTTTAATGGGAAGATCATCGAACTAAATGGGCGATGTCCCATTGCAATGTTTGATTGCCGGAAGGTATATCGCATGATATCTATAGTAAATCCCATAATTCTCATGAACTATCACCATTTACAGATATACAAGGGGTCACATCCGGCCACATCCCGTTATATACCTATCATATCCCCATTACACACCCACTTTTCTCCAGATTATAAATCCATGGGTCTTGCATCATAAATTTGAATAGGATTTTCCATGAAATGACCTTACAAACATGTGTAAACTTATAAAATGAACTAACACCCATTTATAAATGGCTGATTGGTGGTTTGGAACATGCCTTTTTTTTCCCCCATATATTGGGAATGTCATCATCCCAACTGACGAGCATATTTTTCAGAGGGGTTGAAACCACCAACCAGATGTTTTTTTTTGAACTTACAAACGTTTATAAACCATCCAGCTGATGGGGTATCCTGACTGGAAACCTGCCAGGAGCCACCCTCTGGATTGAAATGGGCCAAGAAAACGCCAGAGCCACCGCCGCAGGTGTCGTGAGGGAGGGGGGTCAGTTGTTGGAGCCTTTTGTGGAAACCAAAAAGAGGAAAACCTGCTTTTGGAGAGTTTTTTTTGTTTACGTGGATTGTTTGTTTAAAGAAAGGCGGGGAGGGGGAACCATATTCTGATGATTAAACATATGAGCGACGGCTCTTATTTGCGTATATGGAAAGTAGTATTCGGGGTACCCCGGTTTGTCAAAAACATCATATTTAGCTTGTAAAACGAGGTAGGAACACCCCGAGAACGAGGTAGGCAAAAACGTTACGGGACTGGAGAACGAGGTAGGAACACCCCGTCAATTGCGTTATGTAACAAATGTGGTTCGCAGCTCATATATATAAAATGGATGGTAACATAATTTTGTTTAAACACAAACATTGAGGATGTTGTTGAAATTGGCACGACACAGTGGAGGCCCAAAGAATAGGAAAAACCAAGACTTTTCTGAATTCGCATATTGATAACCCATTGATGTTTTGTGATAGCTGATAGCAACAACAAAGGCCTCACACACAAACACACTCACCAGTCAACTTATATACCTCCGTGGTTGCTATCAGCTATCATAAAAAATCATGAAACATCCATAGTGGTTTGGCTCATTTCTCTCTCTTGCAGTCATATTGAATGCAATGAAAGTCTCATGTTTCTTCAAGTCATATCATAGTAATTTGCATTCATGCTGCTACATGGGACGCATCATATCATAAGCCTATCTTCCCTTCACACAACATATACACATACATACACACATAGATTTATGAATGATGATTTATGTATATGATTGTGTATGTATATGTATATAGATTCACACTGATTCACATACACATAATATACATATCACATATATCACTGAGAATCACATACCCATATTCATAAACCATGGTTTCATAGCACATACAACCATTTAAACTAGTTTTTTTTGATTTAAACTCATATAAACAAAGTTTTCTTGTTTTTTTTTTTATGTGTTTCATGATACCCATATGATGGAGATACCCATATGATGGAACATAAAGAAAATGATTATTATAATGTCATTAAACGATACCATCATTTACCCATTGATCCCATCATAAATCGTTCGTCGTCACAGGCGCTGTCCAGATGGAGCAGCAACAGCTCCTGGAGCTCCGCAGGAGAGTCGCTGGAGCCTTAGTGCATCGAATTTCAATTGGAAATATGGGAACAATCAGCAAGAGAAGATGGGAGAATATGGGGAAAAATACATTTTTTTGGTGCTTGAATGGGAAAATCAGCTAAAAATCGAGGTTTCAACGGAAAAATCATTGACATAAATGGAGATTTTAATGGGAAAAACAAAGGAATGCATGGGAAAGCATTGGACATTTTCTATACATGGAGGGTTATAGCTGGGAAAACCATTGACATAAAAGGGTGATATTGTCTGAACATCATTTGTTTATTGGGAAAATACATATTGTATAATGATTGATTAATGTGCATATAGTTTATGTCTAGAATTAAAATAACTGATATTGGCTTACTAGAAGGCAGAGCTGGCAGATGCAGATGGCCGAGTCCACTTGACCAGGCTTCGAGCTACTTTCAGCCACCTGTGCAGCGTGAAAGCATTGCAGCACAAGCAACAAGTATGACCTGTCTGTGCACATGTCAGCTGTTCAGCAAATGTGGTACTTGTCCACACACCCTTTTGGTGCAGTGGCTCCGCAAAGAACCTGACGTCACATTGGCAGGGATGGAAGCCATGACAACCAAAAAAGGACCCACCACATTTGCAGAGGCAGATGAGCTTGTCAGGAAAAAAAAGGCCGGCAGGCCTCCAAGCATGCCAGCCAAGGCAGCATGGCAAACCATGAAAGAAATCCTCTACAGAGTGAAGCAAAGGGCAGAGAGCCGTAAACGCAAACAAGAGCCTTGGCTGCCAGATTTTGGCGCAATGTTTCAGGTCCAATCTCTAGCATCGACATACATTACTGGCAGTTTTGGTACTGTCATAAAGCATATTTCATTGCCTTCGGCAAGCCCGCCGGCCATAGAGAGGTGGCCCCAAGGGAGTTTGATGTGCATTCTAGGTGGAAGCCCGCGAGAGAGCAGAAGAGAAAAGAAGAAGAAAAATAAGAAGAATAAGAAGAATAAGAAAGGAAGACGAAGACAAAGCCGTAAAACGGAAGCGGCTTGTGTAGCAAGGTTTGCTGTGACAGCCTATTGACCGTATACCAAACTAGTACCGCCCCCAGCAAAGTAGCGCCAGGTACTATGGTAGTAGTGCTAGTACTAGTACCAGTGCTAGTACTAGTACTAGGACTAGTAGTACTAGGGGAAGGGGGGGTGACCTTGATTCAGACGAAGCAAAAACGCGCAGCAAGAGAACAAAGGAACAAGCACAAGCCAAGAACAGGAACAAGAACAACACCTTCCAATCGGACACGCCGGCAGGCCGGCGGATTAATGGATATACGGATGATAGTTTTTTTCCAGCTATGTTAATATAACATGCCCATGGCAAACCCCAACTTTTTGAATAGGAACATGATCCAAGAACTTGATAAATGGTGATTTTCAATGATTTCCCGCCAGGTTTGTTGAGACTAAAAGTGATCCTGCAAGTATGAAAAACAGGGCCCGGCCCAACAAAAGCAAGCGACGAGTGCCCCCTAGTGATGTTTGTTGGTTTACAACCCCACCTACTGTAACTATAGTTATTTTATCGTCAACCCATGTAATTCCTGGTGAAATATGAATTTTACATCAACATGGCAAACGGACTGTGGCACCACCTTGTGCGGTTTCTCGATCCAAACTTGAATTTCTATGGATTTAGGAACTTGTTTTTTGCTAAAGATGACTTTCATCTAGTGGGCCAAGTTTTGAGATCCCAGGTGAGCCAGACATTGTCCTTGTTCAAGATGGGTTTCAATGCTCCAGTGTTTTTTCCACTGAAGGTGATAGTAAAATTTGCCTCAGACCTTCTGGTAACTCAACAGCGTGCTATTGAAAACCTCTATTTTTGAAGACAGTACATCATCGGAACTATATAAATGGACCATCTATAGCATAGCAAACTGTGTTAGTTTATGGAACATAGCTACGGAAAACCAAAATTTTGAACCGGAAAATAATCAAAAAAAAAACGCACATTTTCCAGTTCGCAAAGTGTTAGTTGACATTTTCGGGTATTGCTGTACCCCACATTTCGCGTATCCGTCGGTGACCCTGGATGAACGTGGTTCGATGGGAGGTTTGGCGTGGTTCGCTGGTTCTGTTCCTCCTTTTTTGGGGCCGTAGTTGATGGTTGACGAAAAAATGGGACTTTACTACAGTTTGTGGATGCTTATGGTGGTAATCATCATCGGGATGATAGAACCACCATGAAAAAAAAACGGTTGTAGTTCCACAACCCACCATAGTTGTCCGATAACCAAAATATCAGTTGAACTCAGTAATAAATAGAAACCCCAAAAATCGGCTAAGCACTATATAATAGGTTTACTACCAAACCAGACTAATAAAGAGGGATGGACATATTTTGTTCACTGTCCCAGCCTTTCTATAAACTTTAAACCCATCATGATTTAGAGTTTCAGGTGGGTTCCCTGATTTGTTTTTTGGGGTTCAGATGTTTGGCCATGTTCGATGAGTCAAGTGGGTTTCAGAAGTTCATGTTCATGGACAGAACCGAGATCTTGATTTTGATGGTTGTCTTGTGAATTAATTATCCCGGCTATCCCAGTTATGGATCCAGAGAAAAAATATACAGATTTTGTTTCTTTCGATCGATTTTCTGAATTCACAATTCATGTTTCAGTTGTCGACTTCTGGTTCACAATCCCATAGGATCCATGTATGCTAGCATTTACCATCAATATACCCCAAATGTTAGCATATATACCAGCACCATGGATCCTATGGGAATTCAAAAAATGATCATTTGTTTTGAGTTCGACATTTTTTCTGGCAAGGCCATCGACGTGGAATTCTTGGAGAGGCGAAACCAAACATCGGTTCAAAGAACCTGATGTGTTATGAAACACGCAGATATGTATATATATGTATGGGACGGAGGATGCCTCAACATTGTTTGTTTGTTTTTTTCTGGGAAACGGATCATTGACCATCGAATAAGACATGAATGGATTCAAAGAAATGTGCAGGAAAGAGCCCGCAGTGATGTATCTTGATATATCATATGTTAGTTCATCTATGTGTAGGTATATCCAGATCATAAATCAAACACATATTCATTGTGCAATGAATCAACTATATACCTATCGTATCCTATCGTTGCCCGTAAAGGTGCAAGTGTTTACATGCGTTTACTTTTTGCAATCTTTAAGTGGTGTAGGTAAGGTTTGGAACATTTTTTATTTTTCTATATATTGGGAATAATCATCCCAACTGACTTTCATATTTTTCAGAGGGGTAGGTCAACTACCAACCAGTTTAAGTGGTGTAGATAAGCATGATATTTGTTTATTGACCATTGAGAATTCATGCCCTACCACATCAATGGGCGTCCTGCGGGTCCAACCGCAAGCCGATGCCAGGCACCAGATACATATGGGGAACAAATCCATGGATTCAATGCCTATGAATTTCCCATATGGCGTGAATGTCCAGTTTCACACCAGCTAGTTTGATGTGAATGTCCGTAGCTTGCTGGCGATCATGGCCATGATTTTTGTGACACAGACACGGATATCCATGAAAACAAATCATATCACATATATATATATATTATAAAACGTTAATATAGATGTTTACCCAGTTTTCATTTAAGGAACAGTATGTCACGTTCATATACAACACAGAAACTTATGAACGTGACATACTGTTTCTACCCATCATCATCATCTTCCGGCTCCGGCAGGGATGAGTTGGAGGGACAAGGAAGACATCGACATCTGGTTGCAGCACGGATCCCTGGCCAGTTAGATTCAATACGAAACATGGCGAGTTTCCATGGCGGGTGGGGGGATGTTTTCTGAGTGGGATGGGATTAGTGTACATCGAGTTGATTCAGATGCGACACTTGAACAACATCTAGTCTTATGCTTGCTTAAAAAGGCTTAAATGTGTGTCCATATGTATGTTTTGTTTTTTCCATCCGTACAAAAAGGCTAAGTGTTGAGTTTATGGCAACTGTAATTCCAGCCTTGTGGCAGTTGGAAAACCTCATGGTGACCAATGTTCGAAAAATCATTGACATTCATGTTGGTGAAGTCTTCCACATCTATGTAACGTTTTGCCAGAGGGTATCTGGTTCTCTCGCACCTGTCACTAATACACTACCTATTCATACCTATCATCTGGTTTTCTCAAACATTGTGCAATTGAAAAATACTGAAAATCAATGAACATCAAAAATAATGGCGGTTTCATGGGCAAGTCCATGGTTTCATCCCTATACAGAGAGGGGGATTTTCCAAGCCATGGAGCAGGTGCAGCAACCTGGGTGAGAACGTCCCTGAGACCGTTATCGTGCCATGCAAAACGCCCTTTGAGGCGGAAGTCTTTCGGGTCGCGGTAAGTCCTGTGGAAAACTGTGGAATGGCTGGATGAAAAGAAATGGTGGTAGCCCTTTATCGCTGGATGCTTTATAGAAAATCCCAATCTAAAATGGATGATTGCTTGGGGTACGCCAGTTTGCAAGCTGTTGAATAAACTCAGAGGTTGCTATGGTAAAGGTGGCCCATTTACAAAGAATGATGTACCTATTAAGAATACATAGAATAGTGATTTTCCATGATTTTCCATAGCAATGCTTGTTCACCTCACGAGATAATGGTGGCAGTGAGGTCAACGGGGTTGAAGTATTGGGATTCCACCATGAAAAATACATGGTGAGCCATTTAAAATGATCACAGATGGGGATATTGGATGATACAGCAACACCGGTGTCTCATGCTTGGGGATGAGGAGTGACAATTGCTTAGGATGAGAGAATGGTATTGAGATATAACACAAAAAAAACCATGATTCGGTCCTTAAATATCAGAATATCTTTCGGTCATTTTTGGACAGATATGTCGCTTACCCTCTGATAAACCAACATAACTATTTAAAATCCCATTTTCATAGGTAAATATTCTATACATGAAGCGTTTTGCAAAGCAAAGTCTTAGTTTACTGGAGGCTATTGGATATTCCGGGACCATGGACCGGTTGCTATTAAGATGGCCATGTATTAGTTGATTTATGTTGATTTACCCTTTAAAAAACATGAGTTTCCATAGCAAAGTGCTAGTTTACCAGAGGGTAACAACATCAACCTTCATTGTTACACACTGAAGTGTATTCTTTACTTCAGTGCAGCTGGTGTTTTTCATCCCCAGAAACCTGAACTAAGCACAGCTTCAGGAGTAGCAACTGCTTGGTAGCTGAGATCTATATTATGGATCAATGGTAAATATATCATAATATATCCATCAAAATGGATAGCTCCTGTTTGATATTTACCATTAATATCTATATATATATATACATAGATCCCAGGTACCAAGCCAGTTATATCTATCTATGGATAGCTCCTGTTTTTCCCTAACGGTTTCACCCAAAACGCGCCTTGCAGGGTCGCTTGGCAGACAGTGCCTACGAAACGGGGATCCTGGAGGAGACCAGCGTCTCTATGGGGATCAATCCATGGTGTGTGACTTCGTGGCTATAGCAACAGACTGGGGATGTCATGGGTATCTTAGTGGGAATAAAACAATCTATGTTATGTGATGTTATGTGCATATAAATATATATATATATATTATAAAATGGCTTGTAATGGGAAAGAGAAGGATTTTTGTAGTCAACCAAATGGAGGTTTCCTGAAATATGGGTAGCCCAGGGCCCCAAACCTTTGATTTTCCGATAGTAATCCCCATATAATTTGATGGGTGATGTGGATATTTCAGCAAGAAATGTGGGATTAAAACGGGTTAAACCATCAACAATACCCTCTGGTAAACTAACATAGCTATGGAAAATCACTATTTTTAATGGGTAAACCCACTATTTCTTGGGCCATTTTCAATAGCAAACTGTTAGTTTACCAGAGAGTAAGCCATCAACAATAAGGGTCATGATAGGGGTAGTGGTGATAACATGGTGATTACAATGGGGATTACAATGGGTTTTACTAAGGAAAATCATGATTTTAATAGTGTGGGTACACCAGCAGACAATGAGGCTTCAATGAGATTTTGATGGGAATATTTCACCAACAAAATGTGGAGATTTCATTGGGATACAGTAAATGAGATGGGATATATCACCGTCAAATATGTCATGCGGTGTTTCCCAAAGATATGGTATACCCCAAAAAGGGTCATGTTTAATGTGGAAAATAAGGTACAAAACAAACAGTGGATCTATAGGGGGTAACCACTAAAGGTCAGAACATTATCAGCATGAAACATAGGGATGAAGTCCGTTTATGAATGGCTTATCCCATCTATGAATGGTTTATAACTTATTTTTCTATGGCTACTATGGTTACTATGGTCAATGGTTACTATGGTTACTATGGTTCTACACGTTTTGTCCTGGGAGATGTTCCTCTCAATTCGTTCGCCGATGTGGCAGCCCGCTACGCCCTAGACGGCCAAGCTGCGTTTGCACATGCACATGCTGTGATCATAAAAAAGGCCTGCGAACAAAGCGTGTTCAACCGGTGACAGGTGAAAGACAACAGAAAATCTCCAATCAATATATATATATATATTATATTATATTATAATATATTATATTATATTATATTTTATTATATTATATTATATATATATATTGCATATCCCATTACAACTTTTGAGTCAAACTTGTCTTTTTTGGGCGACTTCCCATCCTGGGGATCCGGTTCGTCCCAGGACCACAAGTGGTTCGGAAAGCAGGAGCTGAGTTGCTGAGTTGCCAGGGCTGCGTGGCTTTATGGTGATGAAATAACTAGTCAAACGACTTAGATGATGTTAGATGTGGTGTCATATAAATCAAGACACATATCTGTGGGGCACCATTTTTTATCGATTTAAATGTTGGGATTCTTTTTGGGTTCAATACCGCGAACACTTTGCCAATCTTTGCTGAACAAATAAAGTACACAATCGTTCCCTCATGACATTGCGGAGTTGCAATGAAAGGCAATCAGAATCTGTTGAAGAAGCATTCCAAAAGGATCTTTAAAAAAATCAATGCGCATACATGTCCTGGTTGGTGGTTTGGAACATGAAATTTATGATTGTCCATTCAGTTGGGAATGTCATCATCCCAACTGACAATCACTCCATCATTTTTCAGAGGGGTAGGTCAACCACCAACCAGGTTTTTACAACCTATAGTTATTTCAACCACCTTAAACCAGGTTCAATGCCATCCACATGAAATCCCATGTCCCATTCAGTCTCATTAGTCCCAACAAGTGTGTATATATATATTAATAGTGATATTCTATATGATTGGTGATTTCTCCCATAATCTATATTGGTTATTTTAGAATGATGGTTGGTGGTTGCAACAAACACCCCCCTTTCCACCAAGACCAGAGATGGATGGTCTACGTAGCATCGGATGAGTCTGGCAGTTGAAGAAGCCACGAAGCCATAGCAAGCCATCATCAATTGGTGTTACATCATGTTATGGCAAGAAATACCATAGGAAAACCATCTAAAAACCACAGGAAACCATATAAAACCTTAGAAAAAAACGCATAACAATTACAGTTCTGGCCCTTTACATCCCAGTTTTAAATACTAATAAAACATCTTATAACCCCATTTGAGCAGAATTTTTCTCATCCCATAGAGATCACCAGTTCCTAATAAATGGCCATAACTGTACATCGCGTTACATCGTGTTGCATCACGGTACGTCCATGGTTTTTCCGGCGATTTCGGTTGTTCTCCAGGCAAAACGGGCCAGGAACTGCTTGAGCGCTGCAGGGAGCAAGGCACCCCTCTGGGATTGGTCATTGACCTGGTCTGGGATCCCTGGAATTTCGTTGATTCGTTTGTGGGGGGAGATCATGATCAGATCATATCGCATCATATCACCTTTGTGATATATATATATAATATAATCATGCATATATATATATAGATGTGTTTTTACATATTCTATATTTGTTGTTGATACATGAATATATGTTATTTTTGATCTATTGATGATATATGAGGATACATGATGTGCAACTTATCGTTGGGTATGTATTGGATATAATCCAGTTACTAGCCAGTTCACTAATCCATTGCCCACATTGTAAGTTTAAGACACGCCCATTAGATGTGGAAACCTGGAAACCTACCATGTTTGAATCATTTCCCTAAAAAAAACACAAGTTTTCCACATGAATTGCTGGTGTGTCTACCCAACGAGTACCTCGATTTTCTTGACCTTCGCCAAGGTCAATACCAGGAAGTGCGCCGGGTTCGAAGAGTTTGAGATGGAAATCAGCTAGCTACTCAACAAATCAACTATTGGTGTTCATGATAGGTTAACAATTAATGGTTAATCTGATGAAATAGGATAAATGAAGGTTAATAATAGTTAATATATGTTAATCTGATCCATTATTCTCCACTGACCCATATTATTCCATTCATATCCATACGAAATATCTATACTAATGTGACAACAGGTATTCGCATTCTATCAGTTGATCCCATATGTCAGCATGAAACCGATGTTCAGTTGCTTCTTGGAGCATTGATTTAATGGAATATGATGGTTTAGTGAGTGTCCAAATTTGATGGTAAACATAGCACAAAAATCAACATGCTGATGACTTGGGGATGGTTTATGATGGTTTTTAATCACATTAGAGGTAAATCAACTATAAGCCTATCATGAACATGTAAAGCAACTACTTATTATAAATATGGTCAGGTTTCTTTTAAATAGCTATCTTATTTTGCCTGAGGATATATCCCATTTACAGACGGATTTACCAAAAAAAAAAACATGCGTCACCGTCACGTCTCATTTCTCGGATCGAATCTGAAGGCCAATTCCAATGGGACCTGAAGGCCTGAGGTACCCCCAATTTCAATGGATTTGAACCTCATTTTCTCAGATCTTCCCATATCTTCGTTGATGGCCTTGGCTGGGGATTTTTTCCTGTGAAAAAGACCCAAATGTTGACCGCGCGACTTTGGCTTCGGACATGGTGAGCTTCGCACGGACGTCATGTGTTTCTGTGGAATCCAAGTACCAACAAAAACTGGCAAAGACGCGATTCGCGAGAATCAACACATTTCAATGTACTGTGCTTAGTGAAGTAGTTGGTATGAACCCATGACTCCAAATGGCAAAACGTATACATATAATGATGTGTGTTTTTTTTCATACATTAGCTTTTAGATAGATTACATAGTAGCTTACTCAACATAGAAAACAATATGTAAGTTACTGAAAGTTTATGACAATGATTTCTGCGCCAAACCTCAAAGATGCCAAACTGAGAACAGTCCCAACGTGACGGATTTTTTGCGGCGCTGCATCCATGTCTTGGTGGCAATGGCGGGAATTCCTGCGAGAGACTGAGGGGGAGGGGTTGGATCCTTTGTGATATTCCGTGGTCAAGTTTCAGCGTTTTAGTCATCCATTTGTCAAATTTGTGAAGAAATATCTTCACAATCCATCCTAGCAAGTAAGTATATAGTCCATTTTTACTTACATTAATTTTGCCACCGAGAAAACATCTATCAATCCATATAGGGTTGTCTCCAAAAAAGTACTGTACCCCCCAATTCCAATGGGTCCAATGGATAATTACTCATCATTTGCCCTATGAACATTGCTATTTGTAGGTATTCCCATTTTCGGAGACACCCATATACCGTACCCATTGGTCATGTCCCATGATATCTCATTACCTCATTACATCCCCATAAAAAAAATCAGAGGTTGGTAAAACATCCCGTTTTGGAGGGTTTGGAACAGCACTTTCAAGTATCAGTTGGATGATTTGAACAAGTAGGACATTTACCAACTAGTTATATCCCAATATTAGTTTCATCCCCAACAAACATCCCCTTTAGTATATCCTTTTCCAGAGAAATGATTAATATTCTCATGATATTCCATTTAGTGCTGGCTAAACTCCAATGATATCCCCATCAAAGAATCCCACATAGCATTTGGTAATTGAACAACCCCAAAGCCCAATATAGTTTCTATACTTTATCAACTATAGTTATATAATGTTCCCAAAATAAGTTCTATCCCCTTGTTTTCCCACTAAGAACAACTTAAATCCCCAGTATTGAACTCAACTTTGTATTCCCAATAGACTTATATCATCTTCCCCATAAATAGTTAAGTTATATTAAATTATAGTCAAGTGATATACCCTCTGGTTATTTAACATAGCCATGGTATAGATGGTCCATAGAAATAGATGGTTTACCTAACTTTAAAATGGTGATTTTCCATGGCTATGTTAGTCATAACCAGATGGTAAGTTATCGTTAAGTGAACTATTGGAAGTCAAACAAAAACAAAGGTGAAGCCCTCATGGGCCAGCTCGTCAGGCGGCACGTGGGATGGCTGGAGACAGATGGCTTTGCGAGGAAAATGATAGGAGAATCCACCAGAGATATGGAAAAATGATAGGAGAAGATGGTGGAAAATATAGGAAAAGACACTAGAAATGGAGGTTTATAGCTGGGAAAAGGAGGATGTTCCTTTCCAACGATGTTTGAGCGGGAGAAGCGTTATACTTCGATGGGCCATGAGATTAGCCCAATCAGAATGCATTGGCTAAGCAATTCACATCTAGGTGCTAAGCTGTGATTTTTGACAAAGACCTCGTTGCTGCAAATACGGCACGAAGTGATGCGTAGCAGTTCTTGTGCAAAATTGAAACCCCATTTGGTTACGTTGGTTGGTTTTGCTTCAAATTTAGTTTTTCATGGTTCATTTCCCTTCCTTTCTGGTCGCCATACCGTAGATGTTTCAAAATCTAATGTTCTCAGTTGATGAAGCATGTATATGGTGAAAAACAAAACAGCATCAATGAGATTATCAATCAACATTAATTGGTGAAAAACAAAATTAATGTTGATTGATAATCTCATTAATTTTGATTGATAATCACTAATCTCATTGTTGATAATAATGGGGATTATTAATGATAGTTCACGTCTAACATTATTAATGTTTGAAATCCCCACATCTTCGGTGACTTCTGGGAAGATCCTCCCGACTTCTGGTGTCGCGGCAAAAACAACGGCCAGGCTTAAAGCGAAAGGCTGAAGCTCTGGATGAGGCACTCGCTTAGTGGGATTTGACCAATTCCTGCATGTTTTTGAGGGATCACCGTCTATATTTATATATATATATGTATCTTCATTATTCATATACATTCATACATTCATACATTCATACATTCATACATACATACATGCATGCATGCATGCATGCATGCATGCATGCATGGCATGCACGTGCATACGTAGATACAGAGATACAGAGAGACACAGATACACCGATACACAGATACACCGATACACCGATGCACCGATACACGGATACACCGATACACTGATACACAGATAAGATACACCGATACACGAATACACCGATACACCGATACATCCATCCATCCATCCATCCATCCATCCATCCATCCATCCATCCATCCATCCATCCATCCATCCATCCATCCATCCATATATCCATCCATGCATGCATGCATACACACATGCATAAATAAATAAATAAACAAATAAACAAATAAATAAATAAATTATATGGTACCCCCCAAGACCTATGTTTTCAATGGATTTTGCGGTATCTGCACCTTTCCCACTCAAGTCTGGACTTGTCTTTCTGAAGTCTGGCAAGTCCATCTTAGTGGGTTCAAGATCCAAGATCCAAGATGTCCTGGGGGTCTGGGCATCTTGGATCTTGGATCCGTGGATCTTGGATCTGGATCCAAGAAAAGTTTTCTGGAGATCTTGGATCCAAACATAAAACCTGTCCTGAGGTTTTCAAGTCTGAGCGCCTGTCAGACTTGAGAGACATTCAGTCTGGTCCTTGTCAGTCTGGTTCTTGCCCATCTAGAATTCTACGTGGAACTCACATGGAGGTCCTGGCACTCTGATCCGATCCAGCTTGCTGCTCTGGCACAATGTTCGTTGTAGCATTCTTCGTGGCTCGATCCTGCTTTCCTTCGTTCGTCACCTCGACCTCAATGGCGATCCCTGTCACCTCAATTGGGCATCTTGAATCTTGAATCCAGAGAGTCTAGATTGAAGATTTTTCTTTTGAGCCATTGTGTACCGCTGCAGTGAGACATCCCTCCAACATCTTTGTTTTTGCCACAAACCTTTCCGGATAGACCAAAAACGGATACTGTAAACTGGAAACAGACACTATTGAGGGAATTGTGGAGATTTCGTTGAGAACATGTAACATTTCTTTGTAGCAGAATGCTTCAATAGATGCAGCAGTACTTTGAAAGAGTCTTGCCTGTAAGGAAAGTCCTTAATGGATGCAGTACTCTTTTGAAAGAGTATCGGACACATTGCATAAAATGGTGGGACATTCTTTTTGAAGACTGTACTATTTCTTTGTAATAGACAGACGCAGTAGTACTGCGAACAAGTATTGCCTTCAAAGAAAGTCCTTGAGTGGATACAGCACTCCTTTGAAGTAGTGTTGTGTTCTTGAACACATGTAGTAGCGTAGCATCACTTTTTTGCAATATCCAAGTAGCAAAAGTGACGCATTTCTGGACATAGTTTTTAGATTTTTGAAAAGTGTAACATTTTTTTTAAGTTAGCATTCCTTAATACATGCAGTAGTACTTTGCAGAACTCTTTCAAGGGTGCAGTCTTCCTTGGAAAATGGCAACAAACATGTGAGGTCCCTTTGAAAGAGGACCGCACTACTTTAATAAGAGAGTTCTCTTAGCCTTTGCAGTATTCATTCAGAACAGTAGTATATTTAAAGCAGAGTTGTAGTGTAGCATTACTTTTTGCAATGTTCCATTGAAAAGAGGGATACATTACTTAAACATGGTGGAACATTCCATCAATAGCATGTAACGTTGCTTTGTCATAGAATGCTTCAGTAGATGCAGTAGTATTGAGAGAAAGTCTTAGTTTCAGAACAAATCCCTGAATGGATGCAGTCGTCTCTTGAAATAGTATTCTGAAAGAAATTTAGAAGTGTAGATCACTCTTTGCAATATTCCATTACGAAGAGTAACGCCTTTCTGGCAAATATAGTAGTGTCATATTAAAACATGACGTTGTTTAACTGGCAAATATAGTAGCGGTGGTGCTTTGAAAGCGCCTAGCCTTTCAAGGGTATAGTATTCCTTGGGACAGAAACATGGTGGACTATTCCCCTGAAATGCACAGCACTACTTTACTATAGATTTGTTCAATGGGCGCATTATTTTTTCAAAAATCGTATAGTAGCAAAAACAGTTTATTTGGCCAACAGTGCTGTGTAATGACTATTGTGTCCTTTTAAGAGGGTGTAGCACTAACAGAGTGGGCAATACTCTTCAACGAGACCTTAACAATGTCCACTATTGATCATTGTTCCAGAAAAGGATGCCACCTTTGGAAAAGAAACGGTACAACTTGAGTCTTGAACTGAACAATTTCCTGACAAGAGTTCTTTCAAAAACATTTTGAAAAACAAAACAAACAAAAATATGTCAATTTATGTCAATTTCTGTGGTGACATGTTGCATCAATCAAAAGTTAAAAAAAACATGAACACCATATTCAAACCTTGCATTTGACCACAGTGCGATGCCCATCCTATAAATGTTTGAACTTCAATGACCTTCTAGGTCACAATACCATAGTCAAATGCTTATAGTATATATATGTGTGTGTATACGTGTGCGTAGTTTTTTTTAGCGCCATTCCCATCTGAAAAGGCATTTTCCTGCTGTAGTGCTACAACAAGTGCTACAACAAGTGCTACAACAAGTGCTACAACAAGTGCTGCAACAAGTGCTACAACAGGACATATCTACTACCCAAAAGGTAGATCTTGGGGTGGGTAGCATATATATATATATGTGTAGTGGGTTTCTTTTGGTGTTCGTATTGTGGTAATATCATTTATGCAATATCCACAAGGGCTGGCTGCAGGTTTACTTGTTTGGTCGGTGTCCGCATTTTGATCTCGGGTGTTTAAGCAGCTACATACAGCTACTATCTACATGCTGATCACTTGTTGGCTGAAATAAGGATTAGGGTATTTAAGTTGAACTATTAGTAGTTCATTAGATATTTGGATTTTGATCTGTCTTTGGAACTCCATGCGCGTTTACTTTTGGTTGGTGAAATCCACCATTTCATGGTGATCTGTAGGCCTATGGTGTCCCTATGACCCCTCCATTTCCGTCTTGGAATCCCTCCCCTGACATAAAACACCATATAATGTATGTATAATTCTATACAAGACAAACATATTTAGAATTTCTAGATTGTGAAATTGTATCACTTCGCGGCTCATCCAACTTACTAAGTACAGATCATTATCCCAGTTGGAAATGGATTAACCCTAAATATCCCATATTTTCAATCGATTAACCATAAATATCCCATATGTTGATATCGTTGTTTCATGTGTCCATTGACACCACTGCTCTTCCCTTAGCCTGTTACCACTCGAGCGAAAGGTGGCGTTGAGAAAGGCCCAAGCACTGCGAGAAGCCCAAAAGGCGGGACGCGGCAAATGGAAAACGGTTCATTTTGCAAGTAGATGATGTTCTCAGATGATTAGGATTATTAATCCGTTAGCCATTCATAGATTGAAGGTAATTATCAACCGTTATCTATAATCAGATGATTTAGATGATTCATAGATGATGATGATTTCCCCATCAAAAAAAACACCATGGATAGTTTGGGGATTTCCCAGCCACGTTTGATATCTCCACAATCCACCTATCGGACATGATGATGTTTACAGATGATTTTTAGATGATTTTTAGATGATCTACCCATTTAAAATTTAACATGATGGTGATTTAGGATGATTAAATGTAAGTGATTACCTGTGAAACATGATTATTGATGATGATTTACCTGTCAAAAATGGTGATTGTCCAGCTCGCAAACGGTTAAATTACCAAAGGGTAAACCAGCCAGTTTATGGAAATATCATGGGAATCTAATGTTACCCTGGGGTACTTTGTTACAGTTTGCGAGGTGGAAGCCATTGCGCATTTAGTTCGATGGTGTCCAAATTAAACCTGGTGATGTTCCATAGCTATATTAAATTACCACAGGACAATTGGGATAAACACTTCTAATAGTGAACTGAAGTGCAGGATGCGGCCCCCCAGTTATAAGTTGGTTTATAACTCCATCTAAATATAGTTATTTGATGTTATTTTATTTTCGTATCACACACTATTGCTACAGTTCTTTGCACCAACTTTGCTAACGAACTGGGGCCCCATCCTGTACCATAACTGATATAACTGATATTTTAGTAGTCGACTTCGCTGCATCGGCAACGATGTCTGACCGGCCCAAGGGGATTTTTTGGAAAAGCATCGACCCAGCGGAATCCAAAAATCCAAATATATAAGAGACCCGGATACCCTAGCCATCAAATAATTAGATTTATGAGTTATTATTAAGTTGCCCACATGAAATCATGTGCGAAAGGGCCATGTTCCATTTTCCATAGCTACGGTATGTGACATTACCAGAGGCTTAATAACATTCTCGTTCCAGGCCCACCTTGCAATGTAAATCATCGAGGTTAACCTTTGCAAAAGTTACATGGAAACCTTGGAGGAACAGTTTCTGATGTTGACATCTTGCAATAAATGATTGTAAATTTGAATAAATCCAACCATCTATTTTTTGCCAGCGGTGGGAAAACCGCGCCAGCATTTTGGCCGTTTTTGAAAACACACATATTTCATTCAGAACATGCACATCTCACGTTACGTCACTGGGTTGGGGGGGTGGGGATGTTAACATTCATGTTAACTTGCGTCACATGCACATCTCACGTTACGTCACTGGGTTGGAGGGGGGTGGGGATGTTAACATTCATGTTAACTTGCATCACATGCACATCTCACATTACGTCACTTGGTTGGGTGGGGTGGGGATGTTAAAGTTCATGTTAACTTGCGTCACATGCACATCTAACGTTACGTCACTGGGTTGGGGGGGTGGGGATGTTAACGTTCATGTTAACTTGCGACTATCTAAGTCTGCCATACCATGCAGTCCCCCGACCAGATCCAACGGCCATGTTAACCCAAAGTTGATGCGAAGCATCCGGGTGTGGCAGTGGCGTTGGATGAGCTCCACGACCAAAGGTCTGATGGAGGTCACAGGTCAAGCCTTGAAGAATCCTATGGCAATGTGAGTGGAAAAAAAATCGCGCGAGTTTTCAGGCACAAATTCCCTGTAAATTACAGGTCATCGTTAAAAAAAACACTTCAAAATCCCGGTGATTTTTAAGACCATTTTGGGGAATGAATCAGCAGTTTCGCTATGGCGAAAACGATATTTTTCTCAAAACGCTCAAAACGCTGGCGCGGTTTTCCCCCGGCGGGTATTTTTTGATCATTTATTTTGATCATTGATCATTGATCCAACCATCTATTTGATCATTGATCTAATCATCTTGCAAAAAATATTGATCATTGATCCAACCATCTATTTTTTGCAGGGTATCTAATACTTAGACTCTTTCAGGTGAACATGACCAGTTTTGACAGGAAAATCACATGCAAATGAGTCAATCATGGTGAAACAAGAGCTTACATAGAGTCATTGTTTTTTTCATTTATGCGTATGGTTGGCAATTTTGACTGGGATATATTAGTCTACCCCTCCAAAGTTTTTGTTTCCCGGTTCTGCTACTATTTGCATAAGAATTTTAATTACAATAACTTCTTGAAGCAAAACTTAAATTCCATCATTCCTACGATTTTTTGGAGGGTAATTTCCTGGTGATTCAGGAATTCCATGATTTTTGAATGCAACATTTGAAAGAAATGAACCAACCACTACACTCCGTTGTTTTGTTTTTCCCAGCGAAAACATCTTCTCCCAGCGAAATGGGTTTCATGAGTTTCCATCGCCATAGTTTGATCCTGATGAAACCATATAAATGGCCATAAAGTACACCATGTAAATCATGATTATCCTGTATTATCATACGAAACCACTAATATCCTTATTAAACCACAAAAAATGGTGATTTTCCCTATCACCCATTGCTGCGCAACATCACCGTCAGACTCCTGTGGAGGCCAAAGAGAAAGCAGTTGCGCTCAAGAGGGCAGCGGAACAGAAGGCGCGGGAGTCGAGGTTCACGGCGCGGGAACCGCGTTTTTCTCGAAACTGGACAAAGCGTGACAAAACCATACTCAAAACAAAAAAACATCCAAGGACGGGCTGGGTTATATTGCAGTATAGAATAGTATAGATTCCTAAAATGATCCATGTGAATCATATTGATCTTTAAAAAGTGATTTCAACATGAGTGTTAATGAACTATATTTACCGTACTGAGGATTTTCATTTATTTTCCATTTTCATTATTATCATATTATCTTTCATAATAATATTATCTTTCATATATTTAACTGGTTGGTGGTTTGGAACATGTTTTATTTTTCCATATATTGGGAATGATATTTTTCAGAGGGGTAGGTACACCACCAACCATATACATATATATATATAGATATTAACCATCATTAACCATATAATAACCGTATAATAACAACCATATATCAACCATATATCAACCACATATTAACCAGTTAATCTTGGTTCCCACTGTCCAGTTTCCTTTATCGCCAGGCTGGTCAGCTACGAGATCTGCGGGCGGCATCCCGTGGCTCCCATGGCAGCCATGGCGGCAGCCACGGCCATGGGTTGAGCCACGGGGAAAGTCATGGATCGCTACGGCACAGCACCTCCCAAGCCAGTCTTACCTCGGGGGAGCGGAGGGCAGGGCGGGAGGGAGCTGGTTTTTGGGGCGGAACTTGGGATGGAACTTGGGGTTGGGGAAAGTCATGGGATGTTTGAGAGCTATTCAAGAAACACAGCAGATGGCGATGTTTTCTTTGTTCAGCATGTTTCTTCTTGTAGAAATACGGGTGGATTTGAAGGTGTCTCCTGACCAATAAACAATCCTGCATCACCGCTTGGTGGTCATGATCAAACCGAATTGAATATTTTGACCAAACCAATCAAGTACCCTCCAGAATCAGACATGGTTTGCTGGAAAATCTGATGTTCCCATTCAAACATATTGAATCCCTCCATTAGTTTGGGCATTTTCATGGATTTCCCACCGGAGGGATTGGTCCTGGGATTATGGTCACGAGAGGAGCATCGCAGTAGCCGCAGTGGCGAGTTAGTCTGCCGGAAATGTCGGCAGAAATATGATCCTCGCTACAAGAGTGAGTTCAAGGACTGGGAATTTCTTCGGCAATTCAGTGGATGAGAAGTAGATTACATCACTTTGGGATGATATATATATATAATTATGATGATATATACGTGTAATATATATATATATATTCATGATATATTATATGTATTTATGAATATTATATACATTTGAGATATTATATATATATATATCAGAAATTACGGCAAAGATGTGTCTCCGCATCCCATGGGCTCCCTCATGGACCATCTTCATTTCCTTGTCAAAGTAGTTGAGCCCACTTTTTGAGACATCCATGTATTGCCCAAAATAGACATTTCAATTTGGGAAAAGAGTGTTGGTTATGGACTCGAAATAAGGTCGTGACAGTTGGTTGGGCATCAAACACAATTTGAAAGCTACTCTCAAAATTACATTACAACATTTGGGTTGGTTGCTGTTGGGTTTGTATTGCGGCAAATTGGCCTCTACCTTTGGAGCCTCCTGGTCCAATCTAAAAATTATTGAAGAGCACTATTCGCTGAATCGGGCTGCTGTTGGAAAAGTCAAAACTGGTGACAGGGTTTGCGGATAGATTTGGACACATGTTTGTTCTATAATAATGTTTCAACTTATAATTTATTATGATATGTATATATATAAAATATATATATATATAATGTATTAATGTTACCAGCGACTACTGGCGTAGTCTTGTTCACCAACTTCGGATGATCCCAATGGACGAGCTAAAAATCGATATGCGGCGCTTACCGCGCCGCAGGATGGCTACTGCTTAAAATGCCGGAAGAGAGCCACTTGGATGTGTCGCAGTCTCCTAAAATTTGATGTTCGTTTTTGTCATTTCAACCAGATATATCTTGATGGTTTATACATATCATACTTTATAATGTCAACCCTGGATTAATAACCCCCAAACAGTTGTTTTATTGGGGGGATACCAATCAAGTATCAGATGAAATGACTATTGAGGGAATAACCCCCGAAAAATTGTCATAAACCATGGTTTAGCAAAATCCGGGGTCATACTTTATACCAGCCATCACAATGGGAAACTTGGGGATTTTTTGGGTGAATCCAGCCGCAGTTTAGGCAAGGCTTGAATCACCTCTTGGAATCCGCCTCATTTTACGAAAATGATGACTGGTAGCCCCAAAACTCTGGAATTTTCCTGGTTAATCTATGGTTTATCTATGGTTAATCTATGGTTAATAATGGTTAATCTATGGTTAATCTACGGTTAATAATGGTTAATGATTGGAATAACAATATCACTGGTTGGTGGTGACTGGAACATATATTATTGATGGGATATTCCATGGGATATTCCATGGTGTTTTTAATGGGATATTCCATGGGGTATCATAATCAATAATGGAACCATGGAGTTTTATGACTTTCCATATATTGGGAATGTCATCATCCCAGCTGACGAGCTCCATCATTTTTCAAGAGGGGTAGGTCAACCACCAACCAGATGTTGCCGAAATGATGCAAGCAAAATCTGGGATATATCCATTGTCAGACAGACTTGCATCAAATTTCATGAGTCTCAGCAGCCAATGGCGTGACGAGCTTGGCCGATGAGTAAACAGATATTGGCCAATTTATGCCAATATGTGAAATTTGATTCGAATTGGGTCAAGTGCCCAATATGATGAAACTATCACATCGTTATGGACAGTTTCATCATTTCTATGGCTAAATAGCTATGGTCAGTTTCCGCTTTAGTGATGTTTACTGGAGGGTAGCTATGTAAAAGTTTAATGGATGGTAGCAATCCAGACCCATGTGGGTTACCTCAAGATTATTTAGGTTAAAAACAACATTCCATCCCATCAAGTTGATCATTATATTTTCCTTAGTATCCAGTATGTATGAAACATGCAGTGCGATTTTTTCGGGGCATATTAACCCATTTAACCGTTGTTTTTCCACATTATTTCCACATTAACCCATATTATTTCCACATTTTTGGATAGACCCATAAAAAACCGTTGGTGAAATCATTGGCTAAATCCCAGTGATAGGATCCCATGCCGTAGAAAATTTTGGCGAGAAAAGCCCACCATTTTTGTTGTTCTTAAGACAAAGACATATCAACCCCATATCCCCAAGTATATGGAAGTTTCCTAAATGGGGGTACCCCTAGATCATCCATTTATAGATGGAGTTTGCATGAAATAAACCATCCAGCTATTGGGGATCTCATATTTATGGAATCCCAAGTATGTATATGTTGATTATATATTATCAAGTATGTATATATTAATTAGATATTATCATTCAAGTATATATATATATAACTAAGCTTCAAGTATACAACACAGTATATATTCTATATATACATATTAATATAATCGTATAATCAGCTAAATCCTCATAATATTCATTGGCAAAATCACAAACATCACCAAACTGCGGCATAGCATCCTTGGGGCCCTAAGTTTTAACCAATACAACCTCAGTTGTTCAATCATTTTTTCTGCATGTTTGTTGATATATTTTCAAAGAAGCAGGTGTGTACATATATATATATATATATAAAGATATTATATTGTATCATTATTGCTATGATTATTGCTAGAATTCATGTAAAAGTTTATGGTATTAACATTGTTTATAGTTATCACTATTCACTATATAGTTTATTGTTATTCATTATACAGTTTTTATTATCATTATTCTTCATTATACAATGTTTATTCCTATTCATGTTTATTGTTATACCATTCTGTTTATGATAACCATTAGTTTACACTAAAAACAATGAAATACACCTGCTTAGTTAACCAATGGTAATCGGTTGGATGGGTAAATCACCATGGTTTGTTGTTGCAGCGATGGTGACGTGACGTGCTCGGTTTCAGGCGAAAGAGAAGGCCATCGCCATGCAGAAGGAGAAGGAGAAATCGGCTGAAAAGAAGGCCGAAATCGGCGACGAGTTCGCCAATGGGGATGGAATTCGCAGAAAAAGACATGTGATTTCATAGGTATTAAATATTAAATGTGGGGCCCCCCAAAGGATAGCTAAGTTGTTTTAGAGCCACCATGAATACTATAGTTTTAAGTATCAACAACCATAGTGAAATTGGAGTTATAAACCAACTTAGCTATCGTTTAGGGGCCCCACATTGTAGATATTAACCACGAAAAGTACCCTCCAGTGTCAAACATGGTTTGCTGCAAAATCACCATTTTTTTGTACTTCCAGAATGTTCGATGGCTTTCCCGGCTCAAAAAACCTTCATTTTGATCGAGGATGTAGCTTGCGAGGCGACTGATTGCAAGAGAGTAATGTTTCGCGACGGTTTGTGAGGGTTATTCATCAACTTACAACTCGGGGCACCTGTGTTGAGACAGAGGGTTAAAAGATTCGGATTGAGCTATCAGACATGTAGATTTAACCATTTTCACCAGAAACACATTAGGATTTAACATCAGAACAGATATAACAGGATGCTGTATGGCCTCGCCTATTCAAGATCTCATATAATCTAATATGACTATGACCATATCATTCGGTTACCGCTAAATTAGATTAATCCAATTAAAGTTATTCAATCCCATGATACTATCCCACTTTTATTATTCAATCTGTTTTGACCATCATGGATTCACCTCCTCAACCAGGTCTCAGGAACGTTTTTTAGGTATAACCTGGCCCTTGGGAGAACAGACTGCTATGATCAGTTGATCTCCCACTGACTGCTATGGTAGTTTGTCTCACCATGTTTGTCGGTCAAATTGTCGACTTAGGCTGGGTTTATGTATGTTGATGTTTTTTTTAGAATCCAAGTTTGGTTAATCCAAGTTTGGTTAATCCAAGTTTGGTTAATCCAAGTTTGGTTAATCCACATTATTTATGTCAATCATCCAATTTTTCGTGGTTTTTGAGGTTGCTTGCTCCAAAGATCGGCTGGTCAATCATGGTCGATCTCCAATGTTTTGCTGGTTATGTCACCGTTGATGCTGGTTCCCTCCCCATTTCTATCAAATTGAATCACCATTCTTTGTTGGTTAAACCATCATTTAGGTGGGTAAAACCACGAATTTTATTGGCACAACCACCATTCGAATGTCAGTAGAACCACCATGTTTTTCCGGTTTTCGACCCATCGTTTGCTGGTCAAAAGTTGGCCCATGACGCCATCCCCAACAGGCCAATGCTGCACGAGAAGTTCGTGGCCGCATGGCTGCAGCGGCGCCCAAACGTCCCGTGCAGGACGGACTGGTTCCACGGTGATTTTTCCATATTTTTCCCACCGGAAAAGATGTGTTTTTTGGTGATTTCCTCACTGTTTCGACCATTTCTGGAACTGGGAATTTAGGAGTTCTTGGCTCGAAGGGGATGAAATTAACATCCCCCCCCCTTTAACCCTGGAATATTTGGGGGGGGGTAAGGCAAGAAATTTCTGAGAAATATTTCACCTGACCACATGAAATATACCCCCCCCCCACATGTTTTTTGGGCTTCGAAAAGATGTGGGGGGGGGTCCTCCGGATGCAAGATTTTTAGCCCAGAGATGGTATGGCACACCCTTTCATAACGTACATACATAATCATACATACATTCATACATTCATACTTTCATACATTCATATATAGATATATATATACATATATATATATATATATTATACACATAATTACACATAGAAAAATGCCACGGTGAAATTTTTGAGGGGAGGTAGTTGCAAAACCATGGTATTTTACAGTTCTAGCAGGGTCCCCCCCTAAAAAAATCCATTGCCAATGCTCGAGGAGCCCCTTTATGTTTCCTACCCCGAAATACAAGGGTGAAATTTTTGAGGGGGGGTAGTTGCAAAACCATGGTATTTTACAGTTCTAGCAGGGTCCCCCCCTAAAAAAATTACCTTTTTAGTCCTTACGCGGGTAGGGCCGACGCGCAAGCCACACAACTAGGTAAATGGATGTAAATGGTAACTGCCAGTTTCCAAGAAAATAAATAAGAGAGTGAACTTGCCAAACATGTTTCAGAGCTTGACGTTCAGCCTTGAATTCAACCAGGCCCTGGAGAGACCATTATAAACCAGAAATTTTTAGCTGAAATATTTCTAGGTGTGTGGGGGGGGGTAACCCCCCCCGAAAGTGAAATATTTCAGTTTTCAACCCCCCCCACCCCCCCCCCTTAAAGGGGGGGGGGGGGGGGGATAAATTAACGAAATCAGTTGGAAAACTGGTGAAGATTTCAATGTTGAAGCAGAAATAATGTCGAAAACAATGGGATTCAACATTATCCTGGCGGCATACCCTCCGAGAATCGAACATGGCTTGCTGGAAAATCCCCCATTTGTAGATGGATTTTGAAAGGGATTTTCCAGCCACGTTTGGTCAATGTTCAGCCATGACTACCCGCGGTGTTTTTTTCGAACATGGCATGGGTACTCCGGTATTGTTTCATGGGAACGTCACGCATCAATCAATTTCTATGTATCATAGAGTTTATGTATATATATATATATGTATATAGAACATAATACAATATATGTATATATTATATTCTTATGATATAGATCATCAACTTTGTTCTTTTTCACATGATATAGACACATATATATATATATACATATCGTATATGCATCATGTAACCCAGAGGATTTCAACAGTTTTTCACTGTTCTGCATGTCCAGGAGCAACGACCAGCTTTCCATCGCAATCAGAGCGCCCTGATTTGTCTTGGACCTCAGCGAAAAAATGGTGGGAGTAGAATGGTTGATGGTCGTATTCCACTAGTGGTTAGTGATCACAATTATATACACATACATATTATATATATACATATCATATATATTTAATATATATATATATGTATGAGCTACATATCTCAGAATTGCGATTGATGCCCATTGTGAGAATACATACTAATACCTAGTGTGTGATTATATAATGGATATATACTGGCAATATTAAATGGTGCTGCTGGGGAGGGGATACAACGGATCAACTGGATGTAATCAACAAGATTGAGTTATGACTGGTCATTTTAAGGGTGTATCTGAAAATTAGGTATACCTCTTAAAACTTACCATTTTCAAGGGGATTAGATTATAATAATGATAGTTATCATGAGATTTATGGCTAGCCTTAATTTGCATTCAATTCGCCATGGCTTCACGGCAATTTCAATTGGGACATCTGCTGAACCATTGGATTCTGGGGTTCCAATGTCCTTTTTCTGGTGGGTCGTTGATAGAGGGGTTAAGCGGTGAACCCCCTTTGCAATCATTTTTGGATGGATCGGTAAACCAACCAACCTTGGTCTGAAAACCACCCCGACATCCCACGCTTGATCATCACTTGGAGACACAATCACCACTATTACCACACTATTGGGATCATAATGACTATAGCACGGTTAATATGGTTAAGAATGGTGCTAGAGTCCGTTAATGTCAACCCTGGATTAATAAACCCCTAGATTGTTTAATTGGGAGGGTACCATTTAAGTATCATATTATGACTATTGGAAGGGTACCCCCCTAATTAATTATACCCCGGGGTGCTGCCGGTGCACCCGGAGAACGGTTGATCCGCCAGGTCGCACGTGTCAGCAGAGTTCCAATCTTCGCCGCATCCCAGATCTGAAGGCGCTGGAGCCGGTTCCAAGATCTTTTCATATTTATAGATGGCTTATTTGACTATCTAAAAGCTTAACTATATTTTAACTATTAATCAGCAAATCCATGTCCCATAGTTAATAGATAGTTTATAGATAGCTTTCGTTATCAGGGTTAAGCAAATCCAAGTTAATAGATAGTTAATTGGGATATACTTGGGATTTCATGGTGACTTGGGGATCCCCCGTTTCAAGAATCCCCCATATGGGTTTGTGAAAGTGGGGTATTAACCAATACATCTACGGGTTTTTGGACCCCGAATGTGTGGCCATCTGTCGGATTTGTTTAGGTTTTCAAGCATCAAATTTTGGGGTACCTCCATGGAAAACCTCTATGACATATTTCTGGATTTTCCAGCCACGTTTGATTACCAAATAAAAAGGGGTACCCAGCGACTCTTTTCCGGCCCGTCTTGGGATGTCATCTTTCCGTTGCTCGTGTTACATCAGTTTCTCTGGTAAAGTATCATAAATCTGGGGAACCCACCATTTGTAGATCAATGTCCGCATGGGTTGCACCATGTTTTTTTCGATGTTTAGCCCCGGGTCTCCAAGATTTCAACGGTCAGGATGGCACCTTTCTTTGCCCGCCCTGCCGTTTGCGGGACAGCTGTCCGCATGGTGGTGAATGGAGGGAGCAGTTTTGCATCCCCCAAAAAAGGGCCCATTGGGGTTGATATGGTTGAAAAAACATCAAGTGGGATGATGTAACATTACCCCCTCTTTTGGTTGGTCCTTGCTTATCAGTGAGGGTTTTTGTAGAAAAGCATGTCACCTCCCACTTACAGATCGCACCCAAAAACCAATCTAATCCTATTTGTTCGTTGCTTGCTACCCCATGGTCCTTCAAGCACACGGTGTTCAATTCACTCTGTTGGGTACCTAGACCCTCAACATTTTTTGCAGATTTTTAAAGTTCAACTTCAGTGCTTTCTCCATAACTTACCAGTTTACTCAAAGTTCAGCTCCGTTGCAGCTCTCCAAACGTAGGAGATGGACCCCTTCAATGCGATGCGCGAGAACGAGAAAGGTCTCCTCAAGCTGATGCTTCTGCAGCCCCCGACCGTGCCAGAAGACACCTGTGGGGAGGCGACCATTCGCATCAAGCTGAACATGCCCAACCTGGCGTCACCCGGCGTTTGACATCGATTTTTTTATGTGTTTGGGTTGCGCTGAAAATATTGGTGGAGGTGATGTTGATTGATTTTGTTGGGTAGAACCATGGTGAGAATCCCCATCAGCTGGGATGCAATTCACCTCCGATGGTTATTGCTTCGCCTGTCCTTGGGGGATGGTCCTTGAAATCACGTCAGAAAAGACGGGTGGACCCATGTTTGGGAAGACGAATTGAATTGGGAATACTAAAATGAATACAAACGATCTAAATCCTACGATGGGGTTGAAAAAACATGTATCACTATATAGGGGTTAAGTATTATAAATATATTATATATGTACACCCATTATATATATATATATATATATATTTATTTATATTATGCATGTATATAGAGATTTTATAGCTGGAATTATTATGTGATACTTACTAACCAACCATTTTTGCGGTCTGTTTTTTGGGATGTCACCGAACCCATATGGGAGATATATGGGTTTGATACCTGAAAATGCTGGATGTAGCCCCCCAAAAAATGGTTATCTACTCATAGGCTCTTTTCGGGAGCAATATTTTCTGAAGCGTGGATGGAATGGGCTACCCCATTTTTAGACAGACCCATGACCCATATTGTCTCCTTCATTGTTTTAGCTAGATCGCCATGTTTCTACAAGGTGGTGCCCCCAGTTAAAAGTTATAAGCTGGTGTGTCAACCCATCAGTTTATATGTACCTTGCAGCCTAGTTGTACGACATCCTACTTTTTGTTGGCTAAGTCCCATGCCAGATTTCCTCTGGGTTAAACCAAGTAAATCCCATTAAATCAGCATGATGTTTCTGAAATCCCATTAAATCTCCCAATTTGTTTTGTTAAATCCCATGAAATCAAAATGATGTGAACTAGTGAAATCCGATAAAATCTCATGAAATTCTGGTTGGTGGTTTGGAACATTTTTTATTTTTCCGTATATTGGGAATAATACTCCCAACTGACTATTATTTTTCAGAGGGGTTGAAACCACCAACCAGAATTTTCTTGGTGCTTTCTTGGTAAAACTCCCCATGAATTCCGCTTCGTCCGTTCCGCGAACGAACCTAAGGAAGTGGCGAAAAGCTGGTGAAGAGATTGACGTTCGCATGCTGAACTTGGCTCCTCGCTGGATGTCTGGGTAATTCACGACACGTCGTAATGATCACGTCGTAATGATGGTGAATGGATCATGGGGTAACTATCCATGATATAGCGGAACTTTTCAGGTTAGTGGTTATAATTTGCCTGGATAGGGAATTTCCACTGATTTTGTACTGGAACTGGACAATTTTAAGTTGAAATGATCCCTGAAAAAAACATGGCGGTTTAACAGGTTGCAGCAAGCAGATATGGGGAATCCAAGTCTAGTGAGTGATCACTCTTCTATCCGTTGGATGATATTTGATGTTTTTGGGCTTACTATATTGTTTAAGAAGTACTTACACTCCCATATTTGTATGTATTGTGTAATTGTATATGTATACGACCCATCCACTGAAAAAATTGTAGTTTATCCATAAAATGCCCAAAGAATTGGAGAGATCGTGGGTACTGAAGCAGTGACATCCAGTCGCGAGTGGTCGAAATGTCGAGACCAGGCGGATGATTCAGAGCAGAAAATCCATCGAATTTCCACATCCGGACCTTACAAAATAACTATGGGATTTCCACAGAAACTATGGGTGATTTATGGATCATCATGGATTTCCTGTGGGTTTTTACCAAAAGTCGGGAAATCCCTCACCACACCTGCTGACGCCATGTCTCGTGACAGGACTCCTGTGACACGCAGCAGAGTTGGCCGCATAGCCTCACCATGTGGGCCAATGGCACTCAGGCGTAGAAAGCCCCCGCGCAGTGTTCGAAGGTTTCCTAAGTCATGGGGGTATCATCTCTACCATCTACAACTACTATATGGAGGTTTCCTGAAATGGAGGCATTTAAACATTGATGGTTTAATAATGGAAATATCTGGGATTTTAACCATGGAAATCTTTGGAAATATGGGGATAGAAGTGGATATAACGTGAGAGAACTTGCGGCTTTCCATAAATGGAGGTACCCCTGTATCGCTGGATGGTTTACAATGGAAATTCCTAATCTAAAATTGATGATTTAGGGGTACGTCCATTGATGGAAAAACCCTCCAAATCCCATGGGTTAATCATCACTGTCCCGAAACGTGGCTAGTTGGGGGGTATACCACATTTTCAGACAGATCTGTATATCTCCCAACGTAGATCTATCCATCTATCCAGCCAGCTATCGATCCATCCATTTATCCATTGGTTGTTCCTGCTACATGAAACTATCCACCCATCATATGTTCATGATACCCCATCATATATTTCCATTATATGTTCAATACATCCCATTGTCTTCCCACATGAATATAGATGTTTTATTACTCTCATCATATTCTCATTTGGATAATTTCCATATACTCCCGTTATTCTCCCATTATTATATTTCCATTAAGAGGGTTTGTATCCCACTACAACTTACATTGAAAAAAACATGCTCCCATGATATGCCCAGAATCCTCTAAGCATGTCTATATTATATTCCCACAATATATATATATATAATTTAATATAATATATTATATATATATATTATATTTATACTATATATATATATGTATTCCAGGATACTACATCCCATTGTACTCTCATTACCATTATCTGACTGATTCCCATATGAATCAGATATAATTCTATTCTATGCCGCTGATATTCCCAAAGATTAACAGAACATGAACATAAACTAGTACCATCACATTATATATTTGATGGCATTATAGTATATTATAGTACCATTATATATGAACAGTACCATTGTATATGAACAAGTACTGGAACAGTACCATTAAGTACCATTATAGTACCAGTCGGAAGTTCTTCACCGTTACCTGCGACATGACTTGAACAATCGGAGGCCTTCCAGGTCGAAGCGCCCAAGGAAGGGCACAAGCGTCGGGATGCTCCGCAGAGGAGTGACGGGGGTGATGGTTGATATATGAATAGTTTGGATATATTAATGGTTATATCAATGGCTGATTGGTGGTTTGGAACATGTTTTCCATATATTAGGAATAATCATCCCAACTGACTAATATTTTTCAGAGGGTTTGAAACCACCAACCAGATGCTTAATAGTGATATATTGGGTGTATATATATTTATATATGGCTATATTAATGGTTATAGTGATATATGATGGCTATAATTATGGTTAATAGTGATATATTGGGATATATTGGATATATACGTATATATGGCTATATTAATGGTTATTATGTTTTTTTTTAATGTCAATGGGTTAATAACGGGTATATATATATATATATATGTAGATGGCTATAATCATAGACTCGTTCGGGGGGGGCGGGCAAACCGACCCCGCAAAACGCAAAATTTTGAACCTTAACGGTGTTTAAAAGTACACTTTTAAACACTATTAGTGCCTAACGGTGTTCGAAGAAAATGGCCTCAAACGGTTTCAAAATAGACTCAAAATGAACTCGGTAGTGCTCAAACGGTTTCATTTTGGAGAAGAACATTGCATTTTGGGAAACAACACGGAAAATAGTTTGAGGTGAATTCCATTTGATACTCTTTAAGCCCGTTTGAGCCCCAATGAGCCCCTTTGAGGCCCCTCAATTGGGTTTAACTGGGTTCAATTGGGTTTAATTGATATTAATGAATTTTCCATAGTATATTAACACTTGTGCCCCTCAAACGGTTTCAAACAGGTATCGGTAGTGTTCGGGATTTGGGGGGTCGGTTTCCCCCGCCCCCCCGAGCTCACTTATGATATAATAATGGCTAATCATGGCTATATTATATAACGGCCATATTATATAAAGGTTAATGGTTGATCATGTCCAATCATGGCTATATTCATGGCCTTTTTATTTTTTAGAGGTTATGGAGGGATCAACATGAAACATGCTGACTGCTGCCTAAACAACATGGGGATATCATGGTCACCAGCTGTGATGAATCCCTTCCCCTGGCAGGTTTACCAGGTTTTTTTGGGGGATGAAATCACAAATGACACTGGGACCATCGGACGATGGTGTGAAAACTATTGGGAGGATGGGATGAAAATCCTCTGGTTATGACTGACTAACAGTTCCTCTGGTTATGACATTCACAGTTTGCCATGGTTTGTTGATGGCCCTAATCGAAATAAATGGTTTACCGAACTTAAAAATGGGTGGATCTTTCCATGGCTATGTTTAATAACCAGATGGTAGTTGAAATCTATCAATTAATTTAATTTCAGATTTCTCATGGACATCTTTGACTTCCATTGAATATGCAATGGATTTTGGGAATCCATCCGAACTTCAGCCCCTGACATTGAATCGAGATTCAGGATCAGACGTCCCTCTGGTACTTCAACAGCTATGGAAGCCATGGCCCCTAGAAAAAAAAACAAATGATTAGATAAGTTCCCTTTTAACAGTGGTGATTTCCCATGTTGCACACTGTCAAAGTACATTCAAATTACCAGAGGCTGATCAGCTCTTTCCCTATTGATGATCCATATGAACATCTGGACAGAGATTTTCAGATAAGGCCCAGGGGACTACAGATTGGACAGTCTATTTGGTCGGTATTTACCATCCAATTGTATCTTATGTTTGACCCATGGGACCCATAGCCATATGTATTTAGCATCTGGATGTTTCTGACGGATCATATAAGCCTTGAAAATCCTTGAGCTGTCTCACTGACAAGCTATCAAACCTTGGTTATACAATTGACTAGCACATGTATATGATCTATATCTTATATGATATATATATATATATATTATATAATTATATATGTATGTATGTATGTAATGTAATGTAATGTAATGTAATGCAATGTAATGTAATGTAATGTAATGTATGTATGTATGTATGTATGTATTTAGCCCTCTGGATTCAAGCCTTTTCTGAGCGGGTATATACACATTGAGCTCAAGAGTCATTCCTCAGTCACCTCAGAAAGCACAGCTGGATCCATGCGCCGCTCGGGTCTCCCGAAATGGGGGATACCCTAACTTTGGCCATCTACGAAATAGGGAACATGAGAATTAAGCAAACAACAGGGCTAAAAGTAACGTTTTTCCCATCACCGATGATTTATCGGTTTTATCACCACTTTTGGTCGTTAAAACTCATACTTGAATACACTCTCCGGTAAAAAACAAGACCTATAGACCATGAATAATTCCACTGATAAACCCTATAAAAACACTGATTGGTGGTTTGGAACATTTTTTATTTTTCCATATATTGGGAAAAATATACTCTCAACTGACGAACTCCATCATTTTTCAGAGGGGTAGGTCAACCACGAACCAGAACACGAAAAAAAACATCATTAACCATATAATAACCATGTAATAACCATATATTAACCACTATTAACAGTATATTAACCACATATTAACCACATATTAACCGCATATTAACCACATATTAGCCACATATTAGCCATCCCTTCACCAAACATAGGATCTCGGCGTGCCTGAAGAGTGACATGGTGAACCACCTGAAGATCTCCATGCGCGACGGCTTCACCCTGCAGAGGCGACCGAGTCTATCAGAGATCACCATGATGGACACCATATCTTTGGCGCAGTATGAAGCGGATTTATCATGATTTTATGAGATTTATATTTGTATATATATATAATATTCATAAAAATCCATGGACTATTTAATATATATATATATTATATCATATGAATTATCCATATATTATATTAATATTATATATATATAGAATTTCATCTTCATCATGATTGATAGGGATTTATGGAATTTCATCCATAGACTCTTTCTAAAGGTCAAACAAAAACTGGTAATCTCCATGCCATGGCTGGAAACTCCCCTTGTGGTCTTGTAGAGAGGTTTTCTGGGGACTGGGATGGGGACTGGGCCCGATTCTGGGCTCCAGTCCGCTTGACTGGTAATCTAACATAGCGATGGACAATGGTAATCTTGATTACAGATGATTTAGCTATCAAAGCCCTAGTGGGGTCCCTGAGTTAAAAGTTGGTGTAAATTTGTTTTGTAAGCCCCATGAATATAGTTATAAGATATTATAAGAGTCATGAACCAAAGTTATTGGAGTCATGAAGCAACTGAACGCTATCTTGAGGGCCCCACATTGCAGGTGATGTTCAATATCTATGTTAGTTTACTGCAGGGTAGCTCCTCGGGGTAGCTCGGCTTTGATATCGCGATTGTTTTGTGTCAGGTTTGGTATCGCGATTGTTCGTGTCAAGCCACAAAGTGTGAGAACCTCAGCATCCGATGTGATCTCCCCTTGGATGTGGGTGGGCATCAAATTTGGTGTTGGATGTGGAATCTCTATTTTTTTATCAGATCAGCATTGCTTAAATCACCTTCAAACGACCGTTTGTGCTGCTGAAATCATCATGGTGAAGCGCGAGGTGCTTGAGATGCGAAAGGCGGTCCGTTTGGTCAGCTGGGGCCTGAGTAATCTATTGAAGCAGTAATGGCAACAATGATTTGGTATTTTATAAATATATATATATAGCTATATATACATATATATATACATATATATATATATACATATATATACTGGTTTTATGGGATTTACATACTGGTTTTATGGGATATAGAATGGGCCAGCGCCCTGGTGCCGCCGACCCCCCTATTTGGGGGGTCCTGTAGAGAGAGGGAGAGAGACAGAGAGAGGGAGAAAGATAGATAGATAGATCGATACATAGAGAGATAGATAGATACAGAGAGAGAAAGAGAGAGAGAGAGAGATAGATGGATAGATAGATAGATAGATAGGTAGATGGATTACATTAGATTAGATTAGATTAGATGAGACTAGGTTAGATTAGATTAGATTCAGATAGATTAGATTAGATTGGATTCGACTAGATTAGATTAGATTAGATAGATAGATTACATAGTTTAGATAAATCAGATAGATAGATAGATAGATAGATAGATAAGATTAGGTTGGGTTAAATTAGATTAAATAGATATATTAGATAGTTTAGATAGATAGATAGATAGATAAGATTAGGTTGGGTTAAATTAGATTAAATAGATATATTAGATAGTTTAGATAGATATATAGATAGATAGACAAGATTAGGTTGGGTTAAATTAGATTAAATAGATATATTAGATAGTTTAGATAGATAGATAGATAGATAAGATCGATACATAGAGAGATAGATAGATACAGAGAGAGAGAGAGAGGGAGAGAGAGAGAGATAGATAGATAGATAGATAGATAGGGAATTGGAGGGTTTTAAGTGTTTTAAGGGTTTTAAGGGAACAAGAGAGGGCTATGTGCAGGCAAATGCAGCAAAGGCTGACGGCCAGAGGGCTTGGTGGAGGGTTTTAAGCGTTTTAAGCGTTTTAAAGGGTTTGAAACCTGGCAAACGGCAGGCTTGAATGCCCTAACAAGAGAGGGCTATGTGCAAGCAAATGCAGCAAAGGCTGACGGCCAGAGGGCTTGGTGGAAGCTGCCGCGAGGGAATTGGAGGGTTTTAAGCGTTTTAAGGGTTTTAAGGGAACAAGAGAGGGCTATGTGCAGGCAAATGCAGCAAAGGCTGACGGCCAGAGGGCTTGGTGGAAGCTGCCGCGAGGGAATTGGAGGGTTTTAAGCGTTTTAAAGGGTTTGAAACCTGGCAAACGGCAGGCTTGAATGCCCTAACAAGAGAGGGCTATGTGCAAGCAAATGCAGCAAAGGCTGACGGCCAGAGGGCTTGGTGGAAGCTGCCACGAGGGATGTGCAGCCAAAGGGCAGGCTGCAACCCTGGAACCGCAAAGGCTGACGGCCAAAGGGCTTGGCGGCAGCTGAGGCTTAAATGCCCCAACAACAGAGCGCTATGTGCAGGCAAAGGGCAGGCTGCAATGCTGGAACAGCAAAAGCTGACGGCCAGAGGGCTTGGTGGAAGCTGCCGCGAGGGAATTGGAGGGTTTTAAGGGTTTTAAGGGTTTGAAGCCTGGCAAACGGCAGGCTTGAATGCCTTAACAAGAGAGGGCTATGTGCAGGCAAATGCGCAAAGGCTGACGGCCAGAGGGCTTGGTGGAAGCTGCCGCGAGGGAATTGGAGGGTTTTAAGCGGTTTAAGCGTTTTAAGGGTTTGAAGCCTGGCAAACGGCAGGCTTGAATGCCCTAACAAGAGAGGGCTATGCGCAGGCAAATGTAGCAAAGGCTGACGGCCAGAGGGCTTGGTGGAAGCTGCCGCGAGGGAATTGGAGGGTTTTAAACGTTTTAAGCGTTTTAAGGGTTTGAAGCCTGGCAAACGGCAGGCTTGAATGCCCTAACAAGAGAGGGCTATGTGCAGGCAAAGGGCAGGCTGCAACGCTGGAACGCTGAGGGCCAGGAGCTTGGTGGAAGCTGCCGCGAGGGATGTGCAGCCAAAGGGCAGGCTGCAACCCTGGAACTGCAAAGGCTGACGGCCAGAGGGCTTGGTGGCAGCTGAGGCTTGAATGCCCCAACAACAGAGCGCTATGTGCAGGCAAAGGGCAGGCTGCAATGCTGGAACAGCAAAAGCTGACGGCCAGAGGGCTTGGTGGAAGCTGCCGCGAGGGAATTGGAGGGTTTTAAGCGTTTTAAGGGTTTTAGGGGAACAAGAGAGGGCTATGTGCAGGCAAATGCAGCAAAGGCTGACGGCCAGAGGGCGTGGAAGCTGCCGCGATAGAATTGGAGGGTTTTAAGCGTTTTAAGGGCTTGAAACCTGGCAAACGGCAGGCTTGAATGCCCTAACAAGAGAGGGCTATGTGCAGGCAAATGCAGCAAAGGCTGACGGCCAGAGGGCTTGGTGGAAGCTGCCGCTCCGGAGAGTCGAAAAGTAGGCTCACTAAAGCGGCGGGTGCGGAGCCAGCTGGCCAGATGAGAGATGAAAAGTTGCACGCCGTTGTGGCGCGAAGCACATTTCCAAGTCAAAATGTACAAAACACACCATGCTCGGACCCACTTTTGGAAGTTACGATTGTGAAAAAAGTGCACGCCGTTGTGGCCGCCAAGCAAAGCACATTTCCAAGTCAAAATGTACCAAAACACACATGCTCGGACCACTTTTGGGAAGTTAAGATGTTGAAAGTGCAAGCCGGTTGGTGGTGCCGAAGCACATTTCCAAGTCAAAATGTACAAAACAAACCATTCTCGGACCACTTTTGGAAGTTGAGATGTCGAAAAAGTGCACGCCGTTGTGGCGCGAAGCACATTTCGAAGTCAAAATGTACAAAACACACCATGATCGGACCACTTTTGGAAGTTGAGATGTCGAAAAAGTGCACGCCGTTGTGGCGCGAAGCACATTTCCAAGTCAAAAGTGTTAAAAACTGGCGGTCTCGGACCACTTTTGGAAGGTGAGATGTCGAAAAAGTGTCGAAAAAGTGCACGCCGTTGTGGCGCGAAGCACATTTCGAAGTCAAAAGTGTAAAAAACTGAGGGGTTTGAGCCTTTTTTGACGTTAAGATGTAGACACTGATTAACTTAACTAACTTCACTAACTTAACTACCTTAACTTCGACGACAACAGCAACAGCAACAGCAACAACAACAACAACAACAACAACAACAACAACAACAACAACACCAACCACAACAACTACAACTACAACAACTACAACAACAACTACTACACAACAACTACAACTACAACTAGAACTACAACTACAACAACTACAACAACAACAAAAACAACAGCAACTACAACTACAACAACTACAACTACAACAACTACAACTAGACAACTACACAACACACCACAAACTACAACTCACCAACTAAACAACAAACTACACAACTAACAAACAACTACACCTCACACCACCTACAACAACATACACAACAATATACAAACTACAACGTATAACTACAACTATAACAAACTAACCCACTACAACAACACAGCACACCACAACAACCGCACCACACCAACCACTACTACAACTACTACCTCCAACTACCCCTCCTCCCTACTCTAACTACTACTACTACACTACTACTAACTACTACTACTAACTACTACTACTCTACTACTACCACAGCTACACAGCACTAACAACCACACAACACTACAGCTAAACAACAACAAATCTACTACTACTACACTAACCACTACAACTACAACTACAACAACTACAACTACAAAACAACTACAGCTACAGCTATATGACTGCAACTACACTACACTAATTAGATTACACCACAACTACAACTCCACTACGCTACAACTACAACTACAGTTGCAGTACATCACACTACATCCAGCAGTTGTGGGTGAGGTGACCACTGCAACCATTGCAAACACTCCAGCAAACACAACTCCAACCACTTTTCGGTCAATCAGTGGATTCGCTCTGCCATCCGTGATTCACAACAACCAACGTCTCCTATAGGTTTCCTATTCTGAAACTTCCGCCACCGCCTTGTGCGGTACTACTGGTATTATAAATTATAACCATGACCATGATTGAACACATTATCACATTAACAGATAACGATATCTGTGTCTTGTTTCACCATGACTTGACTTTCCCATGAAAAATCTCTGTGTTTCCATCGTTTTCACCATTCTGTGACAGAGGTGCAGAGGATGGCCGGAAATTGGTGCGCGAAGTCCTGTGGAACTCCAAGCTCTTAAGTCTCTCCGAAGAGGCAACAGAACCGTAAAGAGACGCAACTGATGTGCCAGGGAAAAAGCACTATAAATAATGTTTGTTGTATGAAAACAGAACATGTGTTATATTTAGACTATACATATATATATATATATCACCATTGAAATAGTTTTTGGCTTGAATTTTTGATAACGATAAAAACATACATACATATTGTTCCATTGGCATTTCATAATGGATTGTTCATTCCACTAAATTGTCCAGACATATTCCAATGCAAATGGCATTATATATTCATAGCTAAGTCGATGCACATAACTGAATTCTAGGCGCTTTGCGGGAAGTATAACTCTATAATCAAAATATAAAGGTGTATACTTGATAACAAACCAACAAACATAACTCTATATAGTGATAATTAAAGTATAACTCTATAGTTTCTATCATGTTGATAATAAACCAGCAAACATATCATTTCCAGAGAAATCACAATGAAATCCATTAAAAGAAACCCATTCCACCAAATATGTCCAGAGATATTCCGGGAAAATGTTCCACTAAATACGACTTGTATAACCCCCCGAGATAGCTTATAAGTTGAGACCATAAGTGGCTGAATTCTATATGGTTTATGGATGATTCCTGGTAGATAGACCGAACTATTATCACAAACTTCATAAACCAACATTCACATTTCTAAATATGGTAAATATTCAGAAATGCTGGAGGTTTATGAACACGTTTCTTAACAAAAAATGCTTAGAAATTTAATCTAGTAACATTTCCATTTACTATTCATGGTTCATTAACATTCACTATATCAACATTAACTATATTAACTATATGGTTCATGAACATTTCCGTTTCGTATTCATGGGCTTTATGGCAACCAACACCACATCAGCCACTGACCGCAGGTGGAGGCGAATGGCTCGGATCGCTGTCGTTTGACCTGCCGGGGACCGAGGGGTTCGCTTCATTTTGGTCGCGGAGAAGAATTTTCGGGGAGATTCTTATTGTATAATTTTGTATATATATATATATAGGATAGGGGTTCGGATTCTATTGTGGATACTGTAATTTTGGGGGATATTGTTATAAACACTCTTTTATAAAATGGGGAGAAGATGATATTGTAATGGAATTGATAGGGTTTTTGGTCGGGATCCAATGGAATGCTTCATGAAAAATAATGGGATTAAAAACGGAAATCGATAAAAAAAATGGGGATACTATTGTGTTAGAATTAATTGGATAACAATGAGATAATATACTGTAATTGATTGTATCATAGTGATCATAGTCGTTACTATGATTGTACCACTAGTGGTGCTCCCAATATACACATATTATATTTTATCATTATTAGTTATCACCATTATATATATATATCCATTGATCCCTTCCTCCCAATACTAAACGCCCCCCCCCATTACTAAACACGGCAGGTAGTTTTTAGTATAGGGGGGTATTTATTATTAGGGAACCCTATTAATAAAATTAAACCTTAATAATAAAAACTATTTTTTCCGATCTCAAAACCAATTAAATTTCTTTATATAATGCAATTAAAATATTGTCAAAAATTTGATTTCGAAGCTTCCCCCTAATATTAAATTAAAACACTTAATAATAAAAACTAAAAAATCCGGACGGACCCTAATAATAAACACCCCAGGGTTGACTAGTTTTTAGTATTAGGGGGGAAAACCACAAATGGTAGCTTGATTTTTAAATTGCTTTCTAAAGGGGATCAATGAAAAGTCAAATTGGCCAATCTGAAATTTTCAATAATTGGAGATGGACACTAGTTTTTAGTATTTGGGCGGGGTTTAGTATTAGGAGGAAGGGATTATAATGGGATCATAATAGTGATGGACTCCACATTTTACAATATGACATACTATCTACATCAAGACAGGATTCGGGATATAGAATTTTATGATGGCACAATATGGTTTTGATGGGATTGATGGGATGACATGATTACTGTTTTCTTATGGGGTGCTATTTTTTGTTTGTTTTCCAGCCTGGCTTTGTGGCTTTTGTGGCTTTTGTGGGTGTGTGGCTTTTGTGGCTTTACCATGCTTTGCCTATCTATCTATATACCTACCTACCTACCTATCTTTCTTATCTAATCTAATCTAATCTAATCTAATCTAATCTATCTATCTATGGACACCTTGTATCCCGACATGTGCCTTAATCCAACCCTCAACAGATCTCAAAATGGACCCTAAACCAACTCTAAATAGCCCTAAAAAACACTAAATAAACCCTAAACCAACCCTAAAGAAACCTTAAACCAACCCTAGTAAACCCTAAACCAACCCTAAATAAACCCTAAACCAACCCTAAATAAACCCTAAACCAACCCTAAAGAAACCTTAAACCAACCCTAGTAAACCCTAAATAAACCCTAAACCAAACCTAAATAAACCCTAAACCAACTTTAAATAGACCCTAAACCAACCCTAAATAAACCCAAAACTAACCCTAAATAACCATGAAAAAAACCATAAAACCAACACTAAATAAACCTTAAGTACACCCTAAACCAACCCTAAATAAACCCTAAACTAACCCCAAATAAACCCATATAAACCCTAAATCAACCCTAAATAAACCCTAAACCAACCCTAAACCAACCCCAAATAAACCCTAGACCAACTTTAAATAACCCTAAATAACCCTAAATCAACCCTAAATAAATCTAAGCCAACCCTAAATAACCCTAAATGAAGCCTAAACAAACCCTAAATAAACAATGAATAAACCCTAAACCAACCCTAAATAAACCCTAAGCCAACACTAAATAAACCCTAAACCAACCCCAAATAATCCCTAAACCAACCCTAAATAAACCCAACCAACCCTAAATAAACACTAAACCAACCCTAAAGAACCCTAAATAAGCCCTAAACCAACCCTAAATAAACCCTAAACCAACTTTAAATAAACCCTAAATAAACCCTAAACCAACCCTAAATAAATCTAAGCAAACCGTAAAAAACCCGAAATAAACCCTAAACCAACCCTAAATAAACCCGAAACCAACCCTAAATGCACCGTAAATAAACACTAAACCAACCCTAAATAAATCTAAGCCAACCCTAAACAACCCGAAATAAACCCTAAACCAACCCTAAATAAACCCTAAACCAACCCTAAATGCACCCTAAACCAACCATAAACAAACCCTAAATAAACACTAAACCAACCCTGAATAAACCTTAAACCAAGCCTAAATAAACCCTAAACCAACGCTAAATAAACCCTAAACCAACCAACACCATGATAGCATCCAATGCCACTATTTAGACCCAACACGGTTGTGCTTCAACCTATATTCTACATTTTCACCAGGTGCATGTTATGCATGGGAAAATCGATTGAAACCATGCAAAAATCAATTGAACCCATGGCAAACTCAATGAAAACTATGAAAAATCGATGAACACTTCGCCATGGAAAAACCGATGAACAGTGCAAATGGCGAATTTTAGCTCCAAGATTCAGCAAAGTACAGGTTTGTGCTCCAAAATGTAGCAAATAGCAGGGACAAGTGCACCAGACCGAAAAAAAAAAAAAAAACACCAAAAAAAATAAAAAACACAAAAAAAATGCACCCTTTTCTTATTATGGGATAGTGTCACTATTCTCATGGGATAATACTATGACTATAACGGGATGTCATATGTGGTAACTTGGTTCATAACTATTCCAATGGGAAAATGGTGACACAGCATGACAATTATTAGTTTCACATTTTTTTTTACAATTGGGATATATGGGGATTATATGTTTATAATGTGATGATATTATTAATTAATGATATAGTATAGTATTAATGAGATCATATTATTTTGATGGCATATCTATCTATGAATCAGGTAGAACTTTGTCAATCATAATCTGGTTGGTGGTTTGGAACATTTTTTATTTTTCCATGTATTGGGAAAAATCATCCCAACTGACGAACTCATATTTTCAGAGGGGTTGAAAGGACCAACCAGTAATCTATCCGTTGTAACGTTTGGGCAGCGCGTTTGGCAGCGTTCGGATGTTTTTTTCCATCCGATGGGGAGCTAGGCAGCGAGAAATCGAACTGCTTGCATGTTGGTTTCATGTGAGCAGTGTTCAAAACCCTGGTTGCTTGATGATTACCCTCTGGTAAACATACAAAAAACTATGGAAAATTCGAAAATCACCGTTTTCATGGGAAAATTCACTATAAATGGTGACTTTCCATAGTTATGTTAAATTACCAGAGAGTAGTTGGGGGATTATACTACCCTTCATATATTGGGGATTGCAATACTCCACAAACGGGGAATCCCTATTTTGACCAACCAGGATTAAATGGAATGACAGAGGGGTCTTGAACACTGCTCATGTGGTTTTTATGTGGTAGACGCTTAAGGATAAACCATCTCCAATGACTTCTGAATAGGTGGAGAAACAAAAAAACACTCAAAATAGGAGCTTCGTTGCTGGGTTTACGGCATAGGGATCAAAAAAAAGATAGAAACCTGTTTTCCAAGATGCTATGGATATCTATGGATGGTGATGTCCTTATAATGTCCAGCTTTCCAATGTTCTATATGAGGGTTGCATAGGGTTGCTCATAAATATCCCATGAAATCACTATTCATCAAAATCCCGTTAAAATTCATGAATGTCCATTGTCTCCCCATAAGATTCCATTCAATTTTACTACCCTCTGGTTATGACTAACATAGCCATGGTATAGATAGCCCATAGAAATAGATGGTTTACCGTTCTCAAAAATTGTGGATCTTTCCATGTCCATGTTAAACAACCAGAGGGTATTAACCATCATTAACCATATAATAACCATATATTAACCATCATTAACCATATAATAACCATATATTAACCATCAATTTTAATAACCATTTTTAAATAACGAGGTAGTTCCAAGTCACTGATTCGATCCCCTAAAATCCCAGGGGTCGCGGGTTTGTGCAGGTCCTTTGACGCACCAACGCATCCACACGCCAGTGCGTGGGGACAAATGTGCCCACTTGCAGTGCTTCGATCTGAAGGTGGGGAGTTGATTGAGTTTTTCAAATTCACGCCAAGGCTGTGGGTGATGTTGGGTGGATCTTTATTGGGAAATCCATCATCAACATGGGGGAAATCTATCAAGAATTATGATCCATGATCAGTGCCAGGGACTTTTGTCCCAGATGTTGTTTTTTGGAGGGGGCCTTGAGATTCTTAGGCAAATCATGGCAAATGCAAATGGCAAATGGTCCCAGTGCGGGGCCAGAGCTTCTTATGTTTGTTCATTATGTCTTATTCAGTGTTGCTAAATCAATTCCACCCGGATGCTGCTTCCCTACGTAAGTTTGAGGGCCAACAATAGAGTTTTTCTTAGTAAAAAATGTGACACTTGAGAAGACTTGACAACTTCCGGAGCAGCCTTCGACTCTAGGGGTGGATCCCTCGATACCTGGGATCGAACCATCGCTGCAGGGATCATTCCCGGAATTGGATTCCCATTTTGGCTGGCAACATAATCACTCACAATTTGAGCATGGCACTTGGCATACAAATGTGGATTCTCCCAATTCTTCTATGGAGGTTGGTTTAAGTTTCCATCTTCGGATTCTGGATGTGTGGAATCATGTCCTCAGTGTTGTCGGTTCCGGATTGCTGATGCCCTGAGGTTTAACATGGATATTTTCTTAGATTTTCTAAGTCATAGGGGATACCCCCAAATCCCCATGACTTAAGAAAGCCCCATTGCCCATGACTGGTTGTTGAAGCCCAAAGTGCCCAGAGAATCTGCAGTCCAGGCATATCTGGAGATCAACCGGGGTATTGCCGCCTTCAACAAGAGATGGTCCGTGTACGCAGAGGGACGGACCGCCTAGGGACCGGTGCATCCAGCAGGGATTTCAGTAATCCTATCCCAACATAAAAATTCCAAATCTGTTTAAAAGTCCTACTTTTTACCATGGTATCTGGAGGTGTTTTTTATTGGAACGGGGGAAGGGATTCCACATCACCATCAATATACCATGGAATCACCATGTTTGATGCTTAAACCCTTTTCATAAGCCCTTCATATTGGCCATTCTAGCCATGAATAGCCATGATCAAAACCCATGATTGGCCACTATATGCCACTATTAGCCACTAACCATTTATAACTGAGGTTAAAAAGTTACCAAACCATGTTTTTTGTTGACATTAACCATTATTAGACCATGCTCAACCACTGTTAGCCATTATGATAACTAATAATAGCATTAATTGAGCACTACTGACCACTATTCATATTTATATATATATACCACTCTTGACCGTCTTAACCTGTCTTAACAATGATTAACCGCTGGTTGGTGGTTTGGAACAGTTTTTATTTTTCCATATATTGGGAATTGGGAATGTCATCATCCCAACTGACGAACTCATATTTTCCAGAGGGGTTGTTTTACCACCAACCAGATATTCATGTGGTTAATATGCTTAATATACATGGTAAATATATGGATTCATATGGATTAATAGTGATATTCTATATGATTGGTGATTTCTCCCATAATCTATGGTGATATATGGAATGATATTGATATTGTATTAATGGTGATTAACCGTTAGTCAATGGGAATTTCAGGATCCTAAAATGGAGGTACCTAGCATATATAAGGCCTATTTTCTAGGCCTAAATTTCAGGGAATATCCCTAGAAAATATGCCCAAAAATATGGTACTAACGTACCTCCATTTTAGGATCCTGAGTCATTCCCATTGATAGTGGTTAAAATACCAATCATAGTGGTGTTTATGATGGGTATATGATGGGATCATAAACTAGATGATTTACCTATTACCCGGCCTGGTAAACCATCATTAACCATCATCATTAACCATTATTAACCATTATTAACCATTATTAACCATTATTAACCATTATTATTCCCATTGAGTTAGTAACCGTTAACCATTCACCACCACCACTCACCCGTCGCATGTCGTTTCGGGGACTTCGGACTGAGGACTTGTCCCGTCTGCGCCATCGCGGCCAAGCCTCAGGACATGTTTGTGGCGCCTCGGTGAAAACGGCAACTCGTGAGTTGTAGGAACCATGGAATCCATGGGATTATATAGCATATGTAGAATATTATGTATGATATATCTGTATATATTTTGATATAAATATATATATATATATATTATACATATGTCTATGTGGATATATTATGATATATTGATATTATATACATATGTTGATATATATATATATTATATTGATGCCCACACAGATAGAAAAAAATAAGATCCCACTCAAATAGTGATGAAGGTTTTTTCTTTTAACTTTTTTGGGGTTGCTATTAAGGAGCATGATGGTTGCCCAGTGGAGAGCTTTTTGTTTTTAGCGAAGACCAAGGACATGTACATGCTCAATGTCTTGAAGAAGACAGAGGACTGCGACATACTGAGGGGGTGCTTGACATTTGTGGTTATATTGATTTCTATTGATATCCTTTGTTTTAAATTGATTTTTATTGATAATTGATATCTCTTGATATGTGTTGATATCTATTGAATTTTATTATACAACTGGCTTGTGGTGATTTCAAGTGCTTGTTGCTGCCAGGCCCAACCTGATATGATCAAGTCAATGGCCCACTGGGAATAGTCATGTTCTGTATTCAAATGGCTTTATCCATCTTCCATTTTCAGATAGGCTAAACTAACCTGGTTGGTGGTGTGGAACATGAATTTTATTTTTCCATTCAGTTGGGAATGTCATCATCCCAACTGATGAACGCATATTTTTCATCCCAACTTTTGGTAAACCTCCATTTTCCTATGGCTATGGTTTTCCTATGGTTTTCCTATGGTTTCAGGGGTAGGTCAACCACCGTACGTAACAGATGATCCTAGGGAAACCATGACCGAAGCCCGAGGACGACGACGATGAGATTTGCTTCGATGCAGAAGGTGAATGGACGGTCACTGCAAAGGCACGGCACTGCGGCACGCGCGCGCCAGCACTGAGCCACAACTCGATGTGACAACGACAGGATGAGCGTTGCGCAATTTTTCAATCCAAACGTCTTAAAGCATAGGGCATAGGTACCATCTGGCTATTTAACATAGCTATGAAAAATCTATTATAAATGGAGGTTTTAACGGAAAAATAATTTGTAAATGTGCCTTGTTCATCCATTTTCCATAGCTATGTTAAATATGTTAAATGACCAGAGGGTATATCAAATGTTTCAAATAGGTTGCTTATTCTAATTTGGGGACTAACCGATTTCCATGTTTCATTGGTTGAATTCCCAGCTTTGATGAAATAATGTGTAACATCGCAATTGTCCTCACCGTGATGTTGTTGCTTGTACCCTCTGGTTATTTAACATAGCCATGGTATACAGTAGATGGCCCATTTATGGATGATTTTCCCAGCTATAAACCTCCATTTATGGTTGGGATTTTCCATGGCAAACTGTTAGTCATAACCAGATGGTATATCCCAGTACATCATTATCAAATCCTCAACAACTTATCCTCATGGAATCCCCTTGTGGGCACACCCAATTACCATATTGTTTTCTCCTGCCATTAGCAAACAATTATTTTAGGTAGATCCGGGCGGGAGCATATATATTATATATATATATTTATTTATGTTTATATAGGGGACATCTTGCTTACTTGCATCCCTAGTATATCCCTGTTATATCACCATTTTGTTTGGTTTTATATTACCATTTCTGGATATGTGTTCAGATTTATACCACTTTTAAATTGCACTGTACCCCATTCATATCCCTGTTTTATTGATATATATATATATATATATGGAACAACACCTATTATACCATATTTTGATATATTTTGGGGATGACATCATGAACTTCCATTGACCAGCTGTTTTGGTGTTCAGGTTGATCCACGGCCATTCCTATCCCTGACAGGGACATGCCTATGTATTTCTATTTATCATTCATTTCTATACCTTCTTTCGCTTTACATCTCAGTATTTCATTCTCAGTGTATTGCTATCCCAGTATAATAGGTTTGTTTGAACCTTTGCGGGGAAGCCACAAAATCGCCAATAAATTGCAAGTTTAATCCATTTTCTTGCTATACCTCAGATTCAGACAAACCCAAATCCCTTTGAAATTATATCAATTTTATCCCAATACATCTCCACTGTATCACCACCATGTTCCAGTTAATTATATCAAAATACATCCCCACTATACCCAGAACCATTCTATTACCACCATCTTGCCATATATCCATTTGTTCAATAGATATCCCACCATATCACCTGATTAGATAAATAATATCCTTTGGTAAACGAACAGTTTCTTATGGAAATATCCATTCTATAAATTCGTAAATCGTCTATAAATGGGCAATTTTCCATGGCCATGTTAGGTTACTGAAGGGTATCCCCACTGTATCCTTATTATAGCTTTGTTTATCCGCAATTGATGATTGATATTATCCATTGCATCCCCATTATTTTATCCCTTTGTATCCCGGTTATTGTTGGTTCGATACTCTTTTTATTGGTTAATTGACAATAGCCATATAGTATGAAATCATATGTTTCTGATTTATATATATATATATATCCTTATTAATCCCCATTAATCCTCATTAAACCACACTAAACCACTTAAAGTCCTACAGGAAGCGGCCCCATAGTCAAGTAAGTTGATTTATATATAACTCCAATCACTTGGGTTTTCGATAATTACTCATAGCTATAACCAACTATAGTTATATATATATATAACCAAGTTATTTATATATATATAACCAACTATAGTTTCGAACATTAGCTATAGTTATAACCAAGTAAGTTGTATTTAATCGGGGTTATAAACCAACTTACTGTATAACTAGGGGGTCCCACATTGTATGATGTAGTCAACTTACTTGGTTCCGTGCAGTTTCAGTTATAAGTGGATCTACAACCGCAGTTATAAGGGTTGTAGCAACTTTTCTTGGTTATTTGATGAGGTAAATTACCATACATATCCATACATTCCTATCACATACTCCCATTATATACCCAATATATATATATATACATATATATATATATCAGATTGATTGTTGACACCCCCATTACATCACCATTATATCCTATATATATATATATTGTTGATGGTTATACTTCTTATAACATATTCCCAATGTACTGTTGGCTTTCACCCGCTTTCCTTGAGCAGGTGCCACCTCCTCCGACGCCTGACACAGACATGGAAGCCGCAGAAGAGCATGAGGAGCGATGGGAAAACCCGCCAAGAATATAGTAAGACATACTGTAACTATACTCTATATTGGATTATAATACAGTAACCGTACAGTATGATATGGGATGATATGGTATGATATGGTATGATATGGCCAATATAATATCATGGGATAGTGATATGTCAATACGATGATATATGATATAGTAATGGAATTTGTTGATATGGTATGACCATACAGTATAGTGACATAATATATGGCGTAGTGATATAGTATAATGTATGGTATAGTGATATAATATAGTGGTAAGTGTCACTACAACATATATCGATGCAATATGTCTTATATACAATAGAAAACATACACAATTATAGTATGTGTGGTTAAAGTGTTACAACAGAATGGTACACAGATTCTCATGGGTTAACAACCATAAATATATAGGGTTTCATAAACATAAATAAATGGAGTGCTTAAATTATCCCTTGAAATCTAATTTGTTCAATGCTGAGCCAGTTTTAGGGAAATGAAAGGGTTCATAAAAATCCACTGAATTAATCTCATGATATTTTATGTTCAAGTACTCTGAAAATAACCCATTCTTAGTGGAAACTAATTTTCCAACCCCGAAAAATGGCAGGGTCTATGTTAATTTACTGGAGGGCATCCCTTCAAATATAAGGTCCCAAAATTGGGTTGTTGAGCAGGACACTACTCCTGAAGTTCTTGTCGTACCAGGCACCCCTTGCGGCCGGCCTGGCTACGGGGGAATGCCAGGTGGTGCCCCAGATAGGCTGCAAAAATGCGGTTTGAAGCAGGAAAAAATGTGGATTCATGGAATATATGAATGATAATCATGTGATAAAACATGATAAAGCTAGGAATCAACAATCACAAGCTGCTGCCCCTGTTTCAAAACCTGCAATCATGATGGCAGATCGCCAACAGAAATGGTGACCGAACCAAAACCAACATGTAGATTTAGTGAGCTAAGTTGGTACGCAGTGCACTAGTATTTTACTGTTGGGATTACTATAATAGTTCGCCTGATGACGATATAAAAACCAACAAACACAACTGGGGGGCACCACCAAAACCAACACTTGTGATCTTTAGGGGTATCCGTACCTTTCGATATTTTTTGGAATGGTTTCATGGAAGGTAAAATCGAAACAGGAAACCTCCATATTTCGGGTGTAACCCATTTCTGGCAGTTGTTCCCTTTAACTAATAATTTGATGCGTTGTACTATAGTTATCATGATGATTTCGTTGAGTACGTTTACCGTGTTTGACAATTTCATCAAGTGTTCGACAATATCATCGAAAAACAAATTTGTTTAAATTACATTCCCGTACTATTAATAACACATATTTGATAGAAAACATATCACCAAGTTTTGATCACATATTCATACCTATTCAACAGTCGGGTATCAACATCTCATTTTGTCTATCAAACATTTTGGGTTATCCTTACCTTTTTTTCAACATTCACCATCATTGCCCTTCATGTAACTGATTATCACTTTCCCATGATTATACCATTCATATTCAGTTATTCCCATTTAACTATAAGTATATATGATTCATACCATGATTATGCCACCAATATTCCCAAGACAATACCATTAACATTATTATACCATAAGTATTCATTAATATAGTACCACTATTCATTGTTGTAATATACCCAGATTGCTTTATCACTTACCGTGCCACAGACAGGCCTTGACGACGAGTGAGAGATGGGCGGTGCAACGGGACAGGCAAACGTGCAAGTTCTGACCCGCAATGCGGGGAAAATGAGCTGGGTGTAGTTGCATAACCCCGCAACAAAAAGGACATGTTGGGGATAGATATAAGGGGACATATATCTAAAACTATGGATTGGGTGTGTCTGAACATGGGTTGTATACCCCGCTTAAATGGTAATCTGATTCGATGAACATGATATTTTCAACCCTGGCAATGTCTATGGGCGTGCAACAAATTAGCACCTTTGTATGAAAACGTGTCTCCCATAAACAAAAAGATGTCCAGATATTGTTGTGAATGGTCCGAAAATGCTTCGCTACAGTGCTTTGTCAATTTAGATTGGTAGATTTGTTATTCTATATAATAACATACTGTACTTCTTTAAGATAACCAACCCTGTATACCAGAGCTTCAAGTCAAGCCAACACGTTGTGATCTTTGTCAAAAGCCAGTTTTTGGTACTCGTACCTGACTTGATGAACTAAATGGTGTCGCTGCAATTCAACTGGGTATAGGATCCAAGCAACATTGAGATATTGACATAGGCATTTAGCGAACGGACATGGGAATGTTCAAACAAGAAAGATGGTGATTGAACAAGCAGGGCAAGTCTGTTTGCTTCAAGCAGAGATCTTGTTGCCCAGAGACTCGAGACCTTTTATCCATGACTTTCTCATAAAGCCCAGATTTTCTCCACATCTGTGGATATAACCACAAACAATCCCAATCATGTAGGTAAAACAATGTCATAAACCACCCATTTGGGAATGGTTTATATCATCTATTTATTGTGATTGGGGGATGGTTTATTATTGGTTTAACCAAATTACAATTAATCCCATTCCCTCAATATTTTATTAAACAACCACTCCATTGTATGGTCCCAAACCCAAATATGTATAAATTCTCCTACTACACCATTGTGTAAACATTGTTTGACCCATATTATATTATATATATATATACGGGGATTGAGATTGTTACGCATCACCTAAATTTATTGATATTAGATATACAGATATACACATATATTGGATATCATAAATATATCTGATTGTTGGTTTCAAACATTTTTTATTTTCCATAATATATGGGATAAGCCTTCCCACTGACTAATATGTTTCAAGATGGTTAAAACCACCAACCATATATATATATATATGGGTATCATGATGAATGGACCCACAGTTCCAACATGAGTTGCCGGTCACGGCGCCAATTTCCAGGTACTACAGTGGCTTTACCCTGGACGACGGGGTGGAGTACCTGAAGGCGGCATGGCATCGTTTGGAGATGAACTGAAACTGGCCCATTTATAGTTGATTTACCCATGAATAATGGTGATGTTCCATAGTTTTTTGTCAGTTTACCAGAGGGTATCATGGAATATCCATACAGAAAGGGGATATTTTTTGGGAACGGCATATATTTGTGGTGACTCAAATGTGATTGAATGGACATGTCATGGGAATGTAAGAGGATTAGAATAGGGATATTTTCAGTGGGGATAAGATGAGATAGCCTCTGGTCAACGTTTACAAAAACTATGGAAAATAATCGGAAAATCACCATTTTGAATAGGTAAATCAACTATTTCTAGGGGCAATTTTCAATAGCGAACTGCGATTTTTTACCAGAGGGTAAGAGTTCATTGTTTGAGAGAACATAAGGAATTAAACGATTTAACTATCAGGGAATTCATGGACATGCTACTGTAACTTGAATGAGAACTTCAAGGTGCTGCCTCCAAACGATGATTTTTGTTCATGCTACCACCTTCGTTGACTTATGCTACCCCATCTAACACTAAGTGAACCAGCTACAAATCAAGATCCTATGTTTTTTGCGGTTAAACCATGTGAATATAATATCATAAGCCCCTTTCACTGGGGTTAAGCCACCTGTTTCGATAACTTAGCATGATAAAATTTTCTATAGGCTTTCGATTCTAGCCCCTTTCACTGGGCTTAAGTCACGTTAAAAGCCCGATGTTTCGTTTTGCGTTTTTCCCCCTGGGCTCCGCTCCGGTCGCAGATTCAAATCCCTGGGCGTGAAGTACCACCACGAGACGTTGTAGAGGAGGCATTTCTTGGTCGACAGATTGGTCGCTGGGAAACGGATGGACAATGATCAATAGATTTGGTGATGATCCATCCACATGTGTCTAAAATAGTTGAATTGTATTCTATATTAATCTATAATACTATTTATATCCATCATATCATAAAATGAATGAACACATAAAATAAATGATGGATGGATGGATGGATATGAACGTTATCTAAATTATTGAGTAATAGTATTTTGACATGGATTTTAGAAAATAAAAGTATTGGATAGCTATAGTCATTTCCATCATTTTCAAGCCATGAGCATGATTGACTGTAAACGAAATGGAAATGACTATAGACAATATATTGAAATGATTATATATTTAAATGACTATATTCTAATTGACTAGAACATATACTGACTATTTTCTTGTAAAGTACTATGAAATGCCTATACATATTGAAATGATTGATGGCTGGTGAAATTGTAAGAACTGAATTAATGAACATTGTCTACAAATGGATTTAACTTGACAGAAATCTACATAGAAAATAGGATCTATACTCCCTGGCAAAATAACATGGACAACAATTAACAAATAGTCTTATTTTTGGCCCATGTTAATTGAGGGGTATTTCTGATGTAAATTCACTATAAGGAACTGATGATTGCCAAGTTAGTTTACGACAGGGGTAGTCTTTCACAGTGGCCATCGAGAGGGGATTGCACCATGGAATCCACAGCCGGACATCTGTGGTTTAAGGGCAACGCGGCAACGACGACTCAGTGGCATTTTTTTTTATCCGGTTGGTGGTGACTGGAGCATATATTATTTACGGGATATAATGGGATATAATAGTGTTTTTAATAGTATATAATTATATAATGGTGTTTTTAATGGGAATTAAAAGTCAAATTGGCCAAACTGAATTTTTTAGAAATTGGAGATGGACGCCTGTTTTTAGTGTTTGGGGGACGTTTAGTAATAGGGAGAGGGGATTATTCCATGGGATATCATAATCAATAATGGAAATGTTGAACATGGCTTTTATGACTTTCCCATCATATTGGGAATGTCATCATCCTAACTGACGAAGTCCATCATTTTTCAGAGGGGTAGGTCAACCACCAACCAGTGAATGATTGGCAGGTCTTTAATCATATCGATGACTTCACGGAGAGGAGGCAGCGGGCTCAGCCATGGTTGGACCCACAGGTATGGGAAACCTGTGCTTTCCCCGGGACATTGTCGAAACATTGTTTCTAAGCATATGTTAATGCTAATTTATTGGAGGACATATACTAGATGTATATACTGTATATAAATATGTAATAAATCATATGTATATATAATGTTTATATATATACATACATTACAATACCAGTACCAATACCAATACCAATACCAATACTACGAATACAATGCAAAACAATACAATACAACGCAATACAATACAACGCAATACAATACACATGTGTATATATACAATACATATGTATATATATATATATTTATTTACATTATGTTTTTACAATATATATATACATGTTTTACACATAATATATATATATATATATGTATTACATATAAAAACAATACTAACCATCCCATTTTAGCCTCCGTCTTTGGATACTCAAGGACTTCATCCCGTTGACCTTCCTTTTTTGGCCGTCCAGCAGCAACACCAGACTCAAAGCAGCGTGGCCATGGCAAAATGAAGAAAAATGATGGGCGATGAAGAGATACACACGGGGAAATATATGGAAATATGACTACCCAATATTTCATTGGCGAACGCGCCATAAAATTTAATTGATTGCACTATCCACTTATATTAGCATGTTCGAATGCTGTTATATATGTATAATATTACATACATTCAATTTTAATGGTGTTCAAATGTCAGATGGGCCACTTATGATCCATGTGCCCTCCGTGTCTGACAAGAGTCAAACAATTCTTTGGTGCCCTAGCTTCCTCCCACAACAAGATTGACATCCATTTAAAACTAGCAATGGTCACTATATCCGAAGTTCCATGGAAGGTAAACTGCATGTTCCATTGAAACACAACTAGGTTCTATGGAAGGTAAACATTGAAAAGTAAAACAATTGGCAAATCTCAAGTTCCTAACATTTTCCAACATTGGCAAACCTAACATATTGGCAAATCTAAAGTTCCAAGGTCTTGTCCCTGTCACATTTTCCACGCCGGCACAAGCTTTTCGCTTTTCGCGAAGTTGCCATGAATCCCATGGGTCGAGTGTCTTGGCGAAATGGCGAAATGGTATATATATATATGATTTTATATGAAGGCAAAAAATTGTAATATGAACATATACCTACAGCTATTATTAATATGAACATATAATTATTAAATATGAACCATTATAGATCCAATTTTATATGTACAATGTTAGATTAGTTTTTTTACTGTTCGATATATCATAATTTATGTTGCATATATATATATATACATATCCAAACAGGGGTTGGAACCAAAAGTTGATTCCATTTTATCAGTTTAATTGTTGCTTATCATTGGTTCTGGCCGTTTATGATTGCAACTGGTAATCATTGGCTTTGATGACGAATGAGTGGTGATTTCACTGGTGATTTCACTGGTGATTTCACTGGTGATTTCACTGGTGATGTTAACAACTGGTGATTTCTTGCTGAGTTGCTGACTAACTGGTTATTTTATACATAACAACTCAGTGATAAACAAGTTGTAACTGGTGTTGTACTTAGTTTTTCACTGGTGTTGTAACTGGAAATTTGTGATGGCAATAGTGATTGCTTGTAGCATTTTAAAACTGCTCATAACCGGTGATTTGCTTCTGGTGCAATCCCTGGGGGCAACACTCAGGAGATGCAGTCCATGAAAGCTGACATTGCCCCATATCTCAACAGGTGCAGAAGGGCAAAACGTCGGCAACGTCGTTTCGTTGCGTCTTGTTTCTGGAATGACCTGTTGATTTACTGTAGCTGTAGAAGTGTTGAATAGTTTCTCCTCTCCTGTGTTTTGTGGTTGAAAGATCTGAAAAGTAACAGGTTGTATATAATCATTTCTAAAATCGATCTCTACTTTGTCACAGGCATCGATATCATAAACGTCACATGGCTATCTTCCACAATGTGTCGTCTCGTTTCTGTATAAACCATGGAGTTAGCGATTCCTGGACTGCTTAGTCGCTGAGTTTCTTACCCGCAAGCTACCCCCAATGATAATCCATTTACTAAGCAGTTAACTAAGTCCATGGCCCATTTAAGTACAATAGTTGATTGTCCCCATCACACTATTATTGATATTATTTTAGTCATTGGACAAACTGTGTATCATGATAATGATTATGATTATGTATCATGATTATCAAATATAACGATATATTGCTATCATATAGTGTACAGTGTGTGACTATTATTTACATTAGTAAAACACTATATGATTTTACAGTTGTGATATTTTCTATAATTACATAGTTATTAAAACTAAAGTTAATTATAGTACACCAATGTACATGATATGGTTTTTATTGTTATTACTACTACTATTGTTATCTACTATATATATATATAGGTCATATAGGTGAGAACTGATATATATATATATATAAATGAATATTAGAAACCGTATATAGATACTATATTACTATATTCCTCTTACTTTTACTACATGCATACTATGCATACTACGATGTATTATGACATACATCAATTACTACGCTGATGGCACAGTGACGCCAGGGAGTGGCAGGTGGAACTCTATGAGACACCTATGAAGAGTTGATGGCTGAGACACCTATGAGACACCTCAATGGAGGACACGGTCGTCCTGTCACTCGCTTGTAGCTTGATGTGTGTAACATATATATATATATATAATGATATATTATATATATATATGATTTATATAATGCAATGCAATATAATCTAATAGAATGTGATATATATATATATATATAGATATGTATATATATATATATATACCTGGAACCACGAAAACAACCAGAAATAAATCGGCGTTTCCCATCGTGGAGATGAGGTCCTTTGGACTGCCTCTTTGGCGGCGTTTGCTGCTGTGTGAAAGCCTCTGAGATTCCGAGCTTCCTGTAAGACGTTAATGGGCATTGTAGGATTTTATTGGGATTTATAGGGTTTCTATAGAAATGTAGGGATTTTACAGGGATTTGATGGGGATTCGGACTGAAAAGTTCCGATATTTCCAGTAGCTTGATAACCATGCCGCAACATTGTGACATGGAGACTCAACCATCATTTTTTCAGGGTTGATGACTGATGACTCGTTCCTTTTTTCTTGCCGATTTGTGTGCCCCATGTGATTTGTTCTCGGCTGGTCATGATGCTTTCCCTGCTTGATCCTTCGAATGGAGTGTGTCCGTGGCGGAAACTTGGACGAGAAAATACCCACAGACACAAGTGTGTTATATAGCCCACTATCCACTCATGGCATGATAAGCACTGAATCACTAAGACCATCATGTTGTGATTCGGGGATGGGTCAAAACCTCTGGGATTTTATGGGATTTGCATATGGCTGGGGGAATACCCATCCATTAACTATAGCCTATAGCTGCTATAGCTCTTTTAGGGATTTTTAGGGTGCCTGTGGTACCAGCGTTTTGACCCCCAACCATTTGTTTCCGTCGGAATCAGTTTGACGCGCTCGCCCCTTAGATTAGTGCTGCAAAGCAACGCCATGAACTGCAGGGCCACTCAGTGGAGGTGAGTGCTTCACTGCTTCACCCACTTATGGGATATGGAGGTTTCCTAAGTCATGGGCGAACCCCAATAGCTGGATGGGACACAGTATGGAACATCCTATCAATTAACATGGTTTATCATGGCTGATTTGGGGGTAACCCTATTCTAAGAAACCTCCATATCAGCGGATTTATACCTGTTTTCGGACGGTAAAAACCTAAGTTGCCAAGTCCTTCCCGAAAGCCGGTGCTGAGGTTGGTGATTACGGGTGAGCCTTACATTTGCTGTTTGCGTCTGAGTAATTCTGCTGAGTCTCATTGGATTGCCGCAACCAGTTGAAACGATCCCTCTCTATCACCAGTGGAACGACCCTTGCAGATCCTGGCGGCCTTAATCATTAATTAAAAAAACATATATCCCAGTAGTATCCCATGGAGGAATCAAATCATCATTGGCAATAATGAATAATTGTCATTGAGCATCATTAATCATAAGTCATTAATCATAACTAATATATCCGTTGTCATTATCACATGATTCATCATGATTAATGTTGATTTTATTAACCATAATAACTAACCATAACAATCATATTAATATAACCATAGCTAATATATCACATGATTCATTAGCAGAAAAAAAACATCTTGAACCACACATGACCATCCAGGTGCTGGCCTTTGCCAGGCCGATCCGTGGCCATTTTTTGCTGGTCCAAAGTGGGATGAAGCGAATGAAAATTGATGGTCTATCCTCCGGTTGCTTAATGGGACTATGGTTTGATGAGAATTTCATGGGGATTTACCTCCATATGCGAACCATGGTGCTGGTATGTCGGGAAACCTACAAAACTGGGTGATTTTGTTCGGGCAAATGTTGGTACATAGTCCAATTTACTCGGATTTGACTAACAGTTCTATGGAATTTACTGGGTTTTTTCCTCGGATTTCATGGGATTTAGCCTCTGGTTACAGCTTGCGAGCTGGAAGCCAAGAACCAGTTAGTTCCGGATATATTGAGTTTGATGATTTAAAGGTATATCATATTATAAGGATTACGATGGATTATGAATGATTATGGTAATATTTATGATTATGAATGTTTATGATTATGATGATTATCATGATTATTTAAAGGTTTCATGATATATCATATGAATGATTATGAATGATTATGATGATATATATATATATATGGAACCAAAAAAGGAATTAAAGGTACTTCGATGATATATGTTCCTTATAATTATCATATTCGATAGATTTATGTTCGAACTATAATAACTATCATGATATCACAACCTGGAAATTATAAGGATTATAAGGATGGCAGATGATATATGTTCCTTATATGTTCCAGGTTTCCAACGGTTCCATCTGTTTGGGGGGATGCGAAGAATATTCACGTCATTTTCAATATACTGCCGTACTGCCCATTCATATCCCACTGATCAACAATCATTTTGTAAATGGTAGCATATGAATGTATATGATTAGATCTAATTCATGATTTGGGTATTCAATAGGGTTTCATATTCCACGAATATCCCCTGACTATCCAAATAATAATCAGCATTAATCATATTACTGTAATACCCCATTCATATCCTATTCATATATACCATTTTACTAGTTTAAAGTTTATAGTCATTAATAATATAATTATATCAATATCCCTTGAATTCCGCTTGAAACCCCCACGGGTTTTCAATCACCCAACAAATACCACCGCCATCCCTGCAAGGCTGGTCCTTGTGGGGAGCCACAGCCGGAAATTCCTTGCTTGCTGTTGGAGGCAGAGACATGGGGGCATGTCACAAGCCACCAAGGTCGAACCTAGCATGGAAAAGCGCATATTTAATGGGATTCAATATGGCTTATATAAATACTCATAAAGAATCCATAGGTTTAATTATTTGATTGGCTGATTAGTATTAATGGATGGATTCTGGTTATTGAATGGGGATGGGTCAAGTTACTTAATTATCATATGACCGCGGGAAGAACCATCCATTCACCAGCCTTAGGGTACCACCCCGATACCAGGGTTTTGACTTATAACATCCCATATAACCATATTTTCTTAGTGTCTAACTTCCCAATTTCTGTGAAAGCCTCAGAATCATTAGTTCCTCCAGAAAAAAAGACACGGTGAGAAGCACCCGTAGGTGTTCCTGTGTCCACAGATGGCCTTAAGCGCCAATCGCTTCTTCGTTCAGCAGGATGCCCAAGGTGGATGTCACTGGGAAAAGATGGCAATTTTTCAGCAACAAAAATCATGATTC